CTGGAAGTGGACCAGTGTGGCTTTAGGGCAGCAAGGGAGGCTGAGGGTTCATCTGATTCTCCTCCACGAGGAGTGCCTAAGGTGAGGAGGCGAACAGTCCATTTCTTTAGTCTCATCAGTGCCCACCACAGCACCTCTAACAGTTTTGGTGAACAAATGCATGGATGGATGGGTTGGTTGGTGAATAAATGAATGAATGGGTGGGTAAGTGGGTGGATGAACTGATGGATGAATAATGGATATATTAGTGGATAGATGGATGGGTGGATGGATAGATAAGGAAAATGGGTAGATTAGAATATGGATGGATGAATGGAGGATGGCTGGCTGGCTGGATGGATGGATGGAGGAATGGGTCGGGGGCAGGTGGCTAAGTGGGCAGGTGGATAGATGGGTAGATGAGTGAATGAATAGGTGGATATAGGGGTGGAGAGAATGAGTGGATTGAAATATGGTTGAATGGATAGATGACTAGATGGACAGATGGGTGGAAAGGTAATTGAGTGATGGGTAGATAGATGAGTTATTATGATACATAACTTTGCATGGTGACAGATGGTTACCAGACTTATTGTGATCATACTGTAAGGTATATAACTGTCAAATCACTATGTTGCATACCTGAAACTAAGACAATATTGTTTACCAACTATACTTTAATAAAAATTTTTTGAAAGGATAGATGAGCTGATAAATAAGCAAATGAATGGATGGATAAATGGCTAGATGGAGGGGTGGGTGGATAGATAGGTAGGTGAACAGGAAGGTGGATAAGTGAGTCCCAGGATGGAAGGTTAGTCCACAGCCCCTGACCGACACGCTGGTTTTCCTTCCTGCCTTCTCAAGCCACCACCACCATTGTGGGCCTGCTGGTTTTCCCCACCAGCCTGGCCTCCCCATTTGCCAAGGAAGCCTGCGGTGCCTCTTCTGTGTACTACAGTGGACACTGCAAACTGGCCTGGGGCTATGGGACCGCCATCCTCAATGCAGTCCTGGCCAGCCTCCTGCCTGTGATCAGCTGTTCCCGCATGACCAAAGTTCAGGGGAGGACCATCCTCTTCTCCAGTGACACTGAGAAAATCATCCTAGTGCCAGAAATAAGCAAATAAAAATTTCTCAGAAGGAGCAAAAAGAGCCCATGGTACAGCTATACGAAATCACTGCGTACCCAGCTCTGCTACATCCTTGCTATGTGATCTCAGGCAAGTCACTTCACCTGTCTGGACCTCAGTGTACTCTTCCATAAAGTGATGGGGGGACGGGTAAAATATTATTGACTCTCTCATACGATTGTTATGAGATGATGTATGTAAATAAAACACTCAGCACATTAGGCACACAGTGTTCAATAGACTTTAGCTACTATTATTATAATCCTGACCTGATAGGATTGTGGTGAGAATTAAATCTTTTCATGAAAAGTGCCTAGGGTAATTCTGAGTCCATGGTTGTCACTCAAATACTACATCTTTTAATGGGCATGTGATATTCTCTCTTTCTTCCTTCCCTTTTATAACTGTTCCTCTCTTGGAGAACTTGAGAATGATTCATTTTCCCATCAAATATCTAGTAGGTGTCCCTTATATACAAGTTTGTCCTGAGTTGGGGTAGGAATGGGGAGACGGGAGTTAGGAACCTATCTCACCCTTCCAAAAAAATCCCACTGATATGGAAACTTCACTGTTATTTGGGGTACTTCATGATCCCATTCTGACTGCTTCTTTCAGCCTCTTTCTTGTCACTCGCCCAACCCCTGCACATCTCCCTCCAGCCACACTGAATTCCGAGCCCAAAGAAGGCCTCTTCACACCTCTACCACCTTGCATGCACTGCTATGTCTGCCAAGGATGCTGGAATCAAATCTGCTGCTTTTGCCTATCACAATCCCATTGCCCTTCTTCAGGAGCAGCCCCTAAAATTCCCTTGGCAACTCATGACCTCGGCAACTCTCTGACTGCCCCAAGCTTAAAGATGGACATAGGAACCCTTCTAGCCAATCAAGCCTGGTTGGAATGATTGGTTGAGATGGGGATGGATGTGTATAAGCCAGCAGGGAGGAGAGTGACACCATGAGATGGACAGAGGTGGAGTGCTAAGGACTTCCTCTGAACACCTGGATCTAACCATGCCTGCTCTCCTACCTGCAGGAGACACAGTCACAGGCAGCTCTAGGCTGGCATCCCCCAGCTTGGCTGCAGCAGAAGAAAGAGTAAGCTTCCTCCTTTCTTGGTATATATAAATCTCAGGGAAGGTATCTGATTAGACAGAACTGGGTCATGTGCCTACCTCTTGGGGGAGGGGCAAGTCAGCCATTTCACCAGAAGGCCATGGTTATAGTGAAAGAGACAGTTCTCCTGAAGATGGGAGAAGGTGCTGGTACTAGAACAGTGGAAGGAGGCTAGGCAGGCAAAAACATTCAAGGCCCAAATCTCTCTTTAAGGGAGGCTTTATTATCCCCATTTCACAGAAGTGAAAACTGAGGTTCAAGGAGGTAAAGTCACTTGTCCAAAGCCACATAGTTAATCAGCAGCAGAGCTGGGATTTGAACCCAAGTCTGTCAGATTCTATGGAAGATGCAAAATCACACCTGGATTTGCTTCCTCTGCTTCCACCCAGCTCATCTTGGTCAAACTCTTCTGGCTTTAAATGTTCACCCAAGAATATCCATAAACAATCCCCAGGAGTGATTCTATTACTTTGAAAACACACAGACCGCAGAGAATGTAGCTTGAATTCATCTTTTGGACAGAACAATAGGACAGCGTAACAGCTTTAAAAAAAAAAAAAAAAGTAATAAAATAATGAAATAAAGTAATAGAAAACTGAGGAAGCCACCACAAGGTATTCAAATGAACTTAGAGATCAGAGACGTGTTTCCAGCTTCTGCAGGAGCATCTTGATGCAAGTAAGTCTCCTTGGGAAGATTCCTCTGTCACAGCCCAAGAGGGCTCAGAACCCGCCCCTTCCTGAGTTCTCAAGGTTCCTTGAGCCCCAAGCACCACCCCAGTGCAAAAAGCAGCAAGTGGATGCCATCAAGTAGAAGCCTAAACTCAGCCCACATCACCCATGTGCACTTGGGGTGTGCCATCTCCTCTCTGTAATAACGTCACAGTGACCCCCAAGTTCCTTAATCCTCCCTTTGAACTGTTTCAGCAATGCCAAAGGGAGCAATTCTCCAGCCCATAAAGCAGAACCATTTACAGAAAGACTCTGTCTTTATTTGACAAAAGACAGCAGAATCTGTTCTATTTTCTCTTCAAAACAAAAAGTGTACACTGTTTGCAAGGAGCCCTGCACCTTCAAAGCCTAGAAATCACTGTGCCCACAAATTTGAATAAAGAAATCACTGTGCCCACAAATGTGAATAAAGAATAAAGATAGTGGAAGATTCCTGCATAACATCTTAAGGGATTGGCAAGTTCCCGGAGAAGTGCACGGTCCTATGGGTCTTCTGAATTCTGCCAGGGCTTGACTTAGCAATGAAGTGGCAAACTGGTACTTCAAAAAGGATCAAATTGTGTTCCTCTAGAGTCTGTACCTGTCCTGGACTCAAGCTCTCAATGTGCACAGTGGCTTCAACGCCAGAAGCAAGGAAACCTGTGAGATCTTTCCTGACTCAGTAGAGTCAGATGTGAACTGCAGAGTCAGCATGGATGTTGCTCCTGCTAAGAACTGATGGCCTCACACACCTAACTGCACTGTTCCTCCGTCACAGCCCATGAAGGCCCAGAGCTCGTCCCTTCCCAAGTTCTCCAGAAGCCATATTCTCTTAGGTTTCAGAGACTCACCTGAGAACCTGAGCAAGGTGAATGATGGGAGCTCAGGGAAACTGAGGTGCAGTGAGGAAAGCATCCCTATGTGAGGACCCCTCTTGTGTATGGACCTTGGGATACACGGTACACTGTTTACAAAATGGCCTCAATGATTTCCCTGCCCGTATCCACACCCCTTTTCAATAACAGTGTTCAAAGCTGCCCCTCAAGTGGTGGAGTCTATTCCCCACCCTCTGAATCTGAGCTCAGACACATGACTTACTCTGACCAAGAGAATGTGGCAGAAATGACTATGCCGTTTCCAGGCTTAGTCCTCAAGAGGCCTTGCACATTTCTGTTTGCTCTCTTGGAAAGTGCCATCATGGCCATGTAAATAAGCCTGAGCCAGCCTGCTAGAGGCTGAGAGATACATAGCCCAGTCTCTCTCATTGCTCTAGCCAACAGCCAGCCCAGTATCAGAAGCCAAGTCGCCCAGCTGGCCATCAGCTGACCACAGACACATAGAGAAGTCCAGCTGAGGCCAGAAGAACCTAACAGCTGAACCTAGTCCATATTGTTCACCATAGACTCACAAGCTAAATAAATGTGTTTTAAGCCATAAAGATTTGGGGTAGTTTGTTACACAGCTTTACTTGTGGTAACAGCTAACTGATACAAGGAGTGAGAAGAGGTTAACCTGCTTTGAACTTTCTAGGGAGAGACCAGGCAGCTCTCATGAGAATCTGATCCCATCTGGGTATGGGTCACTGAGGTGGGGATGGGAGGCTAGTCTTCAGAAGCAAACATTTCTTTCTTACATATTAAAAAAATTCCCCAAGACATAGAAACAAAAACAACCCAGATTCACACATTTCTCTATTTATATATATATTTTCTCTATATAGACACAATTCACCAGTAAACAGATACAAGATATGTTGGCAACACTGAGAAAAGGGCACTCAATAGATAGAGTGACCCCACGCATTCGATTCCAGGACATGAGGACACGCACAACATACAGAGACCTGAATAAGCACAGTAAGCTGAATAAATGTGAGTTATTCCAAACCACAACCACAGACATTCCTCTGGAACACCACGAGAGAAGGCAGAGAAGAGATCGTGTGCTATAGTTTGTGACTAGTCTGTCATAAAAATAAATAAGAATCAGAAGGTCTAAGACCTGGGTCTTGCTAACATAACGTCCTCTGTAGTGAATAGCTGAGGGACAAAAGACACGTTTCTCTGGAGGGGCCTTTCACACACTTTTTCCCATCTTGGGAAGGTGGGGGACCAGGGCGAGAAGATGTACACTCTTCAGAATCAAGGGCTATCTGGGCCTTGTCTGTCCTGCCTAAGAGGCCCCACCAGGCTTCAGGTACAGTTGAAGGCGCTGTGACCCAGGAAAGAGCCTTCACAGGTATGCAGAGAAAGGATTTCTCCAGTCCTGATTTGATCAGGGAGGGAGGACTGATGCACCCCCTCTGCCAATACTTCAGTGTGCTTTACATGTCTGCTCCCCTCTGCAAAATCCTACCTGCCATTCTTGGGAAGAGTATTCCACCCTGACTCACTGTTTCTCCTGATTCTGCATTCTCAGAAAAGAGGACTTGGCAGGACTGCTCTTCTGAAAGGACAGGTGGGCAGAGTGAACTAGCTAACTCAGGATCTGTCTGTAGCTTGGTGACCCTTTGTGTAAAGACATGGAGGGGACTGTTTCCACACCTAGCTGTGATCTGGGCGCTAATTCACCAGCAGACATTACCCGAGGAAAACACACACACACATCTACCCTGGCCAACCTGTCCTCCTTTTTCTCCTTTGTCCTGAGTGAGCAAGGGCACTTGGGGAAAAGGCGGCATCCCTGACCTCCAACACACAGCTTCCAAGCTTCTGGAGCACCAGACGGATTGTGGCGAGGTCTGCCCTGGAGGGAGAGGAAGGAGATGCAGACTCCACCCTGCCAGAGGGGCGGACCCAGGAGAGTGTCAGACATCACAAGCCTACAGACACCTCTGGGAGGGATTCCACCATCCTTGCAGGAAGACCCCTTTCTTAAAAAGAAGAAAAGAAGTCTCTCCTGGGGTCAGGCAGAGGAGAAAAATGAGAGAAAACAACAAATGGGTCCCCAAACCTCAAGGGGAGACATGTGTAGGGCTCCTGTGTGCTGTTTCTAAATGGGAGAAAGCCTCAGGACACGGGTGGCTTAGGTAGAAAGAGAGTGGGTTGGGAGATTCACTGGTAGCCCCTCTTAGCCAATGGGTCTCAAATGGGGACATGTGGCATATCTGGGGACATTCTAGGTTGTCACAACTGGGGTGGGGAAGAGGATGCTACTGGCATATAGCAAGTAGAGGCCAGGCATGCTGCTCAATGTCCTACAGTGCACAGGACAGCATCTCTCAAAACAGAACGACCCAGCCTAAATGTCAATAGTGCTGAGGTGCAGAAACCCTGCTCCACGCCAGTGTTCCAGCCATGTTCTGGAACATCTCCAAAGGCCCCTTTCGAAACATAGAGGTAGTCCCATAGACTTCTCCTACACCAATTTTCAAAACTTCCCTCCCCAAGTTTCACCTGACAAGACAGTTTGGAGGGATGTGGGAGAGAAGAAGAGAGAGAGGAGATAATTCTGGAGATGCTCGCTCCATCCATCAACGACTCCCACAAGGGAGGAATCCCAGACGTGGGCAATCTTTGGTCAAACAGGAAAACATAAGGCTGAACTCAAGGGGCAACCCCTCGACCTCGCTGCCTGGCAGCCATTGTAGGTCAGTGTCTCTTTGCACAGAAGTCCATACTCATGAACAGATACCAGGACCTCACTCACTCCCAGGGCGGCCGGGAGGGAAACGGGCAGAACAGGCAGGTGGCAGCTCCACTGACACCGCCTGAGTAAAGCGGCCGTCACTTGTTCTCGATCAGAGTCTGCACCTTGTACACGAGGCCGCGGGCCAGCTTCAGGACCTGCTTGGTGTTGTGTCGCTCGGCCATTTCTGAAAAAGCAGAAGGCAACAACATCTCATGAGCCTCCTTCTGTGTCCATCCTTAGGACACACTTCCAGCCCCTAGAGGGGCCTTTGGGGTGTCCCCATCATCATTATCTGGCATCATCCCCCAAGTGGTTCCGGAAACAGAGATCTTGGGGAGGGCCGGCATCTCTGGATCCCCGTTTCCCCCATTTCCTTGTCTGTAAAATGGGGACTGTAACAGCACCTACTTCACGAGGTTACTGTGAGATCAGACGGGATGACGTTCGTTCAGGGTGTGCTAAAAAATGTTATGTCTTCCCACCCCCTTCCCACAAATACAACGATTGGGAACTTTATAAGAAAGCCATCCCGGCACACAGCAGATGCTTAAAAGTATGAAAGGAAGAAAGCAACAGGAGAGGGGAGGAAAGAAAGCAAAAATAATAATTTTATCAAGAGCCACACAAAACGATCAGATCTTTAAAGCAGAATGTCATAAGAAATCATTTAGTAGAAAAAAAAAAAAAAAGGCAGGAAGATCACGGTTCCCAAACTGGGTGCCAAGGTACCCTAGGGTGCTTCTGTGAACTCACAAAAAAATTTGAAGGAAACACAGTGATACTTCACATCTCTTGAACACTACATAAACTGCTAATGTGAATGAATTCACAAACTGCACTCCATCCCAATCGATGACTTTTTAGCTTCGCAAAGCTAGGTTTTCGGTAAGTGGTTGCTGTGATAAAAAGTATACCACAAATCACTGGAACAGGAAATGAAGGGGGTGGTGTCCAACCTGACTGTAGGTTTGAGAAGCTGTGCAAAGCCCAGAGGGTGCATAGATCCCTTTAGTAATTGTAGTTATATTTAAGAATGTAATAAAATAATTTCTTTTGACTTAAGTGTATTATCTTTCAAATGTCTGCTAAGTTGTTAGTGTATAAATGCATATTAATTGGTTCAGACTCATCTATTTGCTAAGAGGAATTTTTGACCTGGCTTGCCATGAACTGAGAAAGTTTGGGAACCTCTAGACTAAGCTAGGAACTGCTTTGGGTTCTCAATCACACACTCAAACTGAAGACAGCCTAGATGCTCAATAACAGGAGATGATTCAGTAAGTTTTGGATAGTTGCTTTGAGGAATATTCTGAGGTATTAAAAAGTGATTATATGGAAGGCAGTTTTAAAAAATTGAGCAGTAAGCAGGGTCGGGTCTGGTTAGTACTTGGATGGGAGACCACCTAGGAAGACAAGGTGCTGTAGGTGTAAAAAATAAAAAATAAGGGATTGTAAGATGACAGGGTCCTTGCAATCTGTGAGGTCAACCAAGGGTTGCCTCACCTAAAAACAAACAAGTAAATAAATAAATGCATAAATCAATAAATAAAAATTGAGCAGAAAAAAATGATACAACTGGATTCTGTAATGGTTAATATCATAAAAATATGTACGACTGTGGAAAAGACTGGCTAGAAAAAAATTTTTTTAATGAACCCACTAAACACAATGTGGTTTTCTGGATTGGATCCTGGAGCAGAAAAAGGACATGAATTAAAAACTAGATGAAATCAAATAAAGTCTGTAATTTAGTTAATAGTAACATACCAATGTCAATTTCTTTGTTGTGACGATATACTAGGATCAGTTTTGTTTTTTCCAAAACCTTCTTTGCTTAAAAAAACAATGTTAAATAGTAATAATGGTAGCAATAGCTTCCAGCTATGGGTCCCCTCATATGGGCCAGGTATCATGTGATAGGCTTTATTTCTATCTCATTTAATTGTTCTGACATCTCTGTGAGGGTGGTGTTGTTAGCACCATTTTGGCAGAGCTGGGATCAAAATCCACATCTGCCTGACTTAAAAGGCCATGCCTTTTTCATGTCACTTCACCTGCCTTCCTGTGCCTGCTTTTCCTACGCACATCGACCCTTGGAAGCAGACACCGTTACCCCATTTCACGTATGAGGAAGTGAATGTTTAGAGAGAGGATAAGTGACTTGTCCATGGGCACAGCTGTTAGTGGCAGAGCCAGGGTTTGCCCTCAAGCCTGAATTCACCACATATGCTCTGCTGCCAGATCCAAGAAAAATGATCCTTCAGCATTACAAGATGTTAACTCACTCATTTGGAAATAGGCAAAAAAAATGAGAAGAACCCCCCTTCAGCCCCTTCACTGTGTGTCAATCTCAGTGAATTTCCATCCCTCCAGAAGCCCACAGCCCTCAGAGGAGACCCTGGTCATGTGGGTACCATTAAAGAATTTGATGATGTCTGTGAAATCCATGTTGTTCTCTAAGATGATGTCCCGGTAGACCTCCACCAGAGCCAGTGCAATGAACAGGACGTAGTGGGCAGATGAGACATGTTTGGCTGCCCAGATGGTCTCCCAGACAGAGAAGACATCATCGTAGACGAGTTCTGCCAAGACATCAACACGCACACGTATGGGGAGAGAGTCAGCCACAGAGCTCACGGTGTTGCCTGCCCTTGACTCTGCCATTTGACCATCAGAAGCCTCGGTTTTACCTGTCTGTAAAACAGGCTATACAAACCAGGTGGGTTGTAAGTTTCCAGCTCTGACATTCTACAAGTGGAGGAAGTGCGCATGCGTACGTTTGATTGACACTGACCTGTCCCTGCTCTGCCCCTTGACCAGTGCCCCCTCTTGCCCTGCATCCTCCATCTCCTTTAGCACCCATGGGATGTATCTCCCTTTCCCCCTGCACACATGCAGAGCTGGCTGCTGCCTCTGCATCTAGTGAAGAGATAGAATAGAGCCATGGTTAAGAGTAAGGCTTTCTATGTCTAATAGACTCAGTCTGAATCCTAGCTTCATCGCTTACTAGGAAGGTGACCTTGGGTCAGTTCCTTTCCTCCATGAGCCTCTCTTTTTCCTCATCTCTAAGTGGGGTGGTGCCAACAGTAATACAAGACAAAAGAGATAATACACAGAAATGGCTCAGCACTAGTACCTGGTACTTAATGAACACCTCCATAGGTGTCAGATATTATTATTCTTAGCATCACCCCATATTTGCACAGTTGCAATGTACTTTGTTATACATGATTTCTAAGTCACATGTGAAACGTGCTCTATGAGCTTCAAAGTTCTTGGTCTGTGACAGGCAGCATAACAGAATAGAAGGGAACTGGCCTTAGAGGGTAGACAGAGGGCGGGGCTCAGATCCTGGCTTTACTCTACCTAGCTGTGAATTTAATTCTTCTCAGCCTTAGTTTCCACATTGTAAAACAGGGACTGTAACGACACCTACCGCTTAGTGGCATTGCAAGAATAAGGTGGGTAAACCGACAGAACTCAGTAAATGGGTGCTAGCTACTCTTTTCCATTGGTTTTGCTCCATGGTATCTTTACCCCTGAGATTCGGCTACAAAGAGACCGGGTACAAGGCCCCAATTTGAAATCTGTACCTCGCTTGAAATCCAGCAGAAACCAGCGGTAGCAGAAGTAGAAGTGGGTGTAGTCCCCATTCTGATGCATCAGCTCAAAGAGCTCTGAGTCCAGGATCTGTCAGAGGAAGGAAAGGTGGACATCAGCCTCATGGGAAAAGGCTGAACCAGAAGGGACAGCTGAATAAATAATGATACATCTCCATGCCGGACGCCCTGCAAACCTTAACAACCAAATGGAGCTAAGAAATGGGATCTGAAATGTAAATCAATCTAGCTCAACCTAACCCAGTCATTTCTCCAAGAAGATATGCAAATGGCCAATATGCACATGAGAACTACTCATTATGCATCATTAGGAAAACACAAGTCAAAATCATATTTGGTACCACTTTACACCCACTAGGATGGCTATAAAAATGACAGACAGCAAAGTGTTGGCAAGGATAGAGAAACTGGAACCCTCGTTATGTTGCTGGTGGGAATATAAAATGGTGTGGCTGCAATTCCGTTCCTAGATCTATTCTCAAAAAAATGAAAACTATGTCCATATAAAAATGTGTACTTGAATGTGCACAGCAGCACTATTTGTAATATCTTTCCATTCGTAAAGCCCCCAAATGGAAACAACCCAAATGTCCATCAACAGATGAATGGATAAACAAAATACGGTATATCCACACAACAGTACATTATTCAGCCATAAAAATGAATGACGTACTGACATATGCTGCAGCATGGATGGACCATGAAAATGTTATAGTAAGTAAAAGAAGCCTGACTCAAAAGCAATATATTATATGATTCTCTTTATATGGAACTTAAAGAATAGGTAAAGGCTATGGAGATGGAAAGTCGATCAGTGGTTGCCAGGTATTGGGGAAAGGGACTGACGTTACTGGGTATGGAGTTTCTTTTTTGAGATGATAAAAATGTTCTTAAATTAGATAGTGATGATGGTTTCACAATTGTGAATATTCTAAAAACAAGCGAATTATACATTTAAAAAGGGTGATTTTATGGTATATGAATTACATCTCAATAAAACTGTGTGTGTGTGAGGAACATACCCAAACATTACTTTGAGGAAAAGGACTAATAAAATCATACATCCACATCTCCTTCATTGTTGTGGTCACAGTGCCTGGACCAAGTAAATGCTCAGTCCAATGGGCTTGATTTTAGTTGCTGAATTAAGGTTGAGCTGATTGAGTTTTTGAGTTCAAATGAGGTGGGCTGAGTTGAGTTGAACCGAATTGAGTTCAAGCAGAATCAAGTTACTGAGCTGAGTTAAACCAGGCTTAGCCATTCAGTTGACTTAAGGTCAGTTGGAGTAACTTATATTATTGAATAGGAATGGATCATACCTGGATTAGTGACCTCATGTTGGCAAAGTGCGTGTCCATGGCACCTCCGTGAGGGAAGTTCTGGTTCATCCTCTTCATGAGCTCTGTGAAGCAGCTGAAGGCGAGGGCCTCTGGGGAAAGAGCCCAGGAGAAACAGTCAACTCCGCCACTGTCCAAAGAAATCGAGGTCCCAGAGTGATGGTCTAGGGCCCTGAGCTGGTTCATAATGTCCACAGACAAATGAGAAACATGTGGCAATGGCATGCCAGTGTGTTCCATGTGAAGGCATATGCTCTCCAATCTTAAAGTAATTACCTACTTCCCGCCTTGAGGTGGTAAAATAACTTTTCTTTTAGGAAATGATGATGATGGCAAATGCTCTGTTTTAAAGAATCCTATTTGCTATAATAAAAAGTTGACAATGTATCGTTGGTTCCAAACTTTTATTTTCTTTTTTGAAATTCTACGGGGTTCGTGAGATTCTCAAATCTGAGAACCACTACATTAAAACAGCAAACATCAATATTGGGAGGGTGTTTATAGGCATTATGCAAAGAAATGGTCAAATAACTTTGCAAAATGCTGATTACAGAGTCGCTCCACACATTAAGAAAGGAAAGTCTCTGAGAAGTCCTACAATAAAGAAATGAAATCTGTTTCATACCGTTTAACCCAGTGTTTAAAAAATTTATTTGAAAATGGTACTTTTTTTTTGTTCCTAACACCTAATAATGTTGGGGAAAATTATGAGGTTTCCCAAGGCACAGCAGAATCCCATTCATTTTTAAAAAGACTTTATTTTTTAGAAAAATTGATAGAATTAAAAGAAAATTAAGACAGTTTCCATATACCCCACACCAGTTACTATTACTAACATATAAATATGGTACATCTGTTACAATTAATGATCCACTGATGATACATTATTACCTAAAGTCCATAGTTTTTTACATAATGTTCTTTTTTTGTTCTAAAAACACATCCAGGATAACACATTACATATAGTTGTCATGTTTCCTTAGGCTCTACTAGGGTTTCTCAGGCTTTGTTTTTGATGACCGTGACAGCTTTAAGGAGTTCTTGTCAAGTAATCTATAGAATGCCTACTGGAATTTGTCTAGTGTTTTTCTCATATGGCTAGGATTATGGGTCATTGGGAGAAAGACCACATAGGTCAGTCACATGCCATTCTAATCGCATCACATCAAGGATATAACTGTCAACATGACATGTAACTGTCGATGCTGATCTTGGTCTCTGGCCGAGGCAGTGTTTGCCAGGTTTCTCCACTGTACAGTTTCTCTCTCACTCCCACCACTTCTCCACCGAACTTCTGGGAAGGAAGTCACTAACGCAGCCCACGCCTACAGAGTAGGGAGTTATGCTCCCCATTTTTATAACAGCCTAATTGAGATTTACATACCATAAAATTCACCCTTTTAAATGTGCAGTTCAGGTCAGTTTAGTATACTTGGAGTTGTATAACCATCATCACTATGTATTTGAGAACATTTTCATCACCCCGATGATACCCTGTATGCATTGGCAGTCTTTGCTCATTTCCCTATCTCCAGTACCTGTCAACCACTGTCTCTACAGATTTCCCTGTTCTGGACATTTCATATAAATGAAATCATATAATATGTGGTCTTTTGTTTCTGGCTTCTTTCACTCAGCATGGTATTTTCAAGGTTCATTCACATTGTAGTATGTATCAGATCTTTTTTTTTTTTTTTTTGCCAAATAATATTCCATTGTATGGCTACACCACCATTTGTTTACTTGTTCCTCTGTTGATGAACATTTGGGTTGTTTCCACTTTTTGGCTATTAAGAATAAAGCTATCGGGCACATTCGTGTAAAAATATTTGTATGAACATATGTTTTCATTTCTCTTGAGGATATATCTATGAATGGAATTGCTGGATCATAAGGTAACTCTATGTTATTATAAGGAACTGCCAAACTGTTTTCCTAAGTGGCTGCACCATTTCACAATCCCACTAGAAATGTCTGAGAGCTCCGATTTCTCCACATCCCCAGTAACACTTCTTTTCTGTCGTTTTTATTCTAGCCATCTGAGTGGGTGTGAAGTGGATCTCACTGTGGTTTTGATTTGTATTTCCCTAATGAGTAAAGATTCTGAGCATCTTTTAATGCTCTTACTGGCCACTTGTACGTCTTCTATTGTATTGAGAAATGCCTATTTAAAACCTCTGCCTATTTTTAATTGGTTTATTGATCTTTTTAGTGTTGAGTTGTAAGAGTTCTTTATATTTTTTTAATACAAGTTCCTAATGATATATGTGATTTGCAAATATTTTCTTCCATTTTCTGGGTTCTCTTCATTTTCTTAATAGTGTTCTTTGAAGCGCAGATGTCCAATTGAAGGCCAATTTACCTACTTTTTATTTTGTCACTTTATGCTTTTGGTGTCACATCTAAGCAACCATTGCCTAACCCAAGGTCACAAATGCTTATGCCTATGTTTTCTTCTAATAATTTTATGGTTTTAGCTTTGACATTTTAGTTTATGATTCATTTTAAGTTAGTATTTTTATATACAGTGTGAGGTAGGAACCCAACTTCAATCTTTTGTGTGTGGATACACAGTGTTTCAGCAGTTGAAATGTCTTGGCATATTGTCAAAATCAACTGACCACATATGAAAGGGTTTATTTCTGGACTCAATTCTATTCCGTTGATCTACATGTCTATCTTTATGGAAGTGCCACACTGTCTTGATTACGGTAACTTTGTAGTGGGTTTTGAAATTGGAAAGTGTGTGTCCCTAACCTTTTCTTCTTTTCCAAAACTGATTTCACTATTCTTGGTCCCTTGAATTTCCATATGAATTTTAGGGTCAGCATGTCAATTTTTGCAAAAAAAAAAAAAAAAAAGAAGGCTGGGATTCTGACCTGTCATTAAACTGCATGAAGTCTACATCAATTTAGAATGTACTGCCATCTTAACAATACTAGGTCTTCTGATCTATGAGCATGAGATTTTACCATTTATTTATCTCTTTAATTTCTTTAAACGATGTTTTGTGGTTTTTGGAGTACAAATCTTGCACTTCTTAAGTTAAACTTATTCATAAATATTTCTTCTTTTAGAGGCTATTGCAAATGGAATTTCCTTCCTAATTTCATTTTTGGATTATTCATTGCAATTGTATAGAAATACAATCGACTTTTGTACATAGATTTTGTGTCCTGTAACCTTATCGAACTCATTTATTAGTTCTAATATGTTTTTGATTCCTTAGCATTTCCTAAATGTAAATCGAGATGGTTTTAATTGTTTTCCAATCTCATGCCTTTTGAGTCTTTCTTCCCTAATTGTCTTGGCTTGAAACTTCTGTGACAAAAGTGTACATCCTTGTCTTACTCCTGACTTTTTGGGGAAAGTAATCAGTCTAGCTCTAGGTTTTTCATAGGTGCCTTTTATCATGTTGAAGAAGCCTCCTTCTACTCCTAGTTTGTTGAGTATTTTTATCATGAAAGCGTGCTGAAAATTGTCAAATGCCATTTAATTGACAATTGAGACGATCATATGGTTTTTGTCCTGTATTCTACTAATGTGGTGAATTACATTAATTGATTTTCATACATTGAACCAGCCTTGCATTCCAGAGATAAATCTCATTTGGTCATGGTATATTTCTTTTTATCTCTTGCCAGATTTGGTTTGCTATTATTTTGTTGAAGAGTTTGCTTTTATATTCATAAAGGATATTAGTCTGTAGTGTTCTTTTTTTTGATGTCTTTGTCTGGTATTGGTATCAGGGTACCAAAGGGTTCTTATGTAAGAACTAGCTTCATAGAATAAGTTAGGAAGTGTTCCCTCTTATTTTTTGGAAGAGTTTGGGAGGAATTGGTATTAATTCTTCTTTCAAGTGTTTGCAGAATTCACAAGTGAAGCAATCTGAGCCTGGGTTTTTCTTTTTTCTCATTCATGTTTATATAATCAGTGGCTAGAAAAGGCCTGGCTGTGTGTTGGGCACCTGGAAATAAGTGTTGGCTACCTGGAAATAAATGTTGGCTAACACAGAACAATTTCACTAGGACCTTGATGTGTTCACCAGACAGGTCTTCTGAGCACCAGTACTGATCTATTCCATGGAGTCACAGAGTAAAGTTAACTTCCCTCCTCTACAGTAGAAAGGAAACTGTACCCCAAGCCCTGGGGTGGGGAGAACACACTCACCATCATCCAGAATGACCAGCAAAGGAGCCAGGAGGTCGCACATGCCTTGGACATAGCCGATCTCAATGTGCTGCCAGATGTAGCTACAAAAGAGACACAAGGGTCTCAGTAATGACACCCACAATCTGCCTCTTCAACCCACTCTTCCTTTCCCTCCTCCCTGATTCAGTCCTCCATCCCTCACCTGGACTACTCCCTTAACCTCCTGCCTGCATCCCCATCATCAGTCTTACTCTCTTCAAACATCCTATGCTCAGCTATCAGGATGACCTTCTTAAAGTCCAGCTCAAGGAGGCTACTGCTTGCTCAAAAACTTTCACAAGCTCCCACTGTGTGACAAGACAATATCCAAACACCTTAATTGGGGGTACAAGGCATTCACAGTTTCTTCCCAAACCACCTTCACAGTCTCGCCCATCATTTCCCAGTACTTCTTCCTCTCCAGGCACACACGTACAAATAAAGCACGCTGAGTTCACACCATTGTGTTTTTGCCCTAGCAGTTCCCTCTATCTGGAATTCCCACCTGCCCCTTAATAATAAAAGCTAATATTTACTGGGCACTTACTCTCTACTCGGTCCACTATACATATATTGCATCATCTAATTTTCAAAATAATCATATAAAAAAACAATTACTTCATTTCATGGATGAGGAGACTGAGGCACAGAGAGATATGTGACATGTACAAAGTCAAACACCTAAAAATAAGTGACAGAGGAAGGATTTGAATTCAGGTGACCTCACCCCAGGGTATGTGCCTCTGACCTGTATGTCAAACGGTTCTTCAGATTCTCCTAATGTTGCCAAAGTCTACCTTAAATATCACCACCTCTGTGAGGCCTTCCATGATTTTTCCTAATAATCAGTCAAAAGTCAGTCTATCCTTTCTCCCCCAGCACTTTTTCATTTTAATGTAACACACTACATTAAAGGTAATAATGTTTGTATTTTCTAGACTAAATTTTGAGAGTCAGTGATTGCTTAGGAGACTATAAGACAGAATAGGAAAGAGGGGGTGCTTATTAATCAGAATGAGTTAGAGCAGCGGTTGGCAAACCACTTCTGAGAGGTTCCGATAATAATTATTTTCAGCTTTGTAGGCCATATCTTCTCTGTCTCAGCTACTCGACACTGCAGAAAAAATCACAGACAATATGCAAACAAATGGGCATGGCTGAGTTCTAATAAAATTTTATTTACAAAAACAAGTGATGGGCTGGAATTGGCTGGTAGGCCACAGTAGTAGTTTACAAACCCAAGTTAGAGCAGCATGGGAAGAAGTCCAGGATGTATTATTGAGTGTAAAAAGCAAGTTGTAGAAAAATAGTTTATAGAATAATCCTATATAAGTAATACCTTTTTAAAACTTTCAAAATGCATGCTGTTATATTATATATAGTATATAATATAGTCTCATATATTATATACATAGCTGTGGAGGAATATTCATTACTATATTATTAGTAGTTACTTCTCCTGGGTGAGTGGTATTGATGACTGGATGTGGAAGAAGTTTCTCTTTATACCTTATGAACTGATTTCCTTAGTTGACTCAGGGTTTTAATAAGCATGGGTTACCTTCATAGTTTAAGAAATAAAAAGAATAATTTTTAATGAAAAGTAGTAAGTTGACCCAGATCTTGGCTTAATGAAATAAAGCACAGACTTTGAAGCCTAAGAGACTCTAGAGTGGGGATGAGGTCCTATTCAGCCACTGCTCAGCTGGGGGACTTGAACAATGTGGTACCTCTCTGAGCCTCCATTTCCTCACCTGTAAAAGGGGATAATGCTTACCTCATAGACTGTTGTGAAGATGAAGTGAGATGATGTTAATAAAGGGCTTAATAAGTGCCCTGTATTATTATCATTATTATGTTTGTTATATTATTGTCAGTGTGGGCTGGAATAAGATTCCAAGTGGGCATGGTGCCCACGGCAGAGGCTGCAGTTCCAGCTGGGCTCCCTGCAGCCTGCACGTCTGCCATCCTTACCCGACCCCCTAATCCCTATAGATCCACCCTCTGCCCCTGCTCCAGCCACCTGCACATGATGTTGCGCAGCTTCTCCAGGTTGGCAGGTGTGAAGTACCAGTAGTTGCGGTCGCACCTCTGTACGTCCTTCTCGATGCGGTGCAGGTTCACTGTGTACAGGTCCAGCAACTCCGGCTGTGGACCCCAGGAGGGGAAGGAAAGAACAATTACACCTCAGTTCCCCACAGAGGCTGTCCTCCAGAGAGTGTCCCTCCCCTAAACCTTCTCCTGTCCTCGCTGAAAAAAACATGCTCTACCTGGACCAGTCGGGGGTTTGAATTAGTTCTCGTTGTTTTCTTATATAGTGAAAATTATTTTTATTTTCTTCTTTGATAAAACAAAACAATCCTAATGAGGTGCATAGAATTGTTATCCCCATTTTATAGATGAAGAAACTACAAGAGAGTTATAACTGTTGCTGAACGTGCATCCCTCTCTGCTGAAAGCTGGATAGGACGTATGAACAACTGAATGGAAGTCCAATTCTGGCAATATGTCTGACATCAATATGTCTTGACCCAACAATCCTGATGAAAAGGTTCAATGGTACAGCAAGAAAATAAAGAATATTTAAAGGCCAAAAATTAATCCAGAAAGGCAAGATAATACAAAGCTGGCTTTTGCCTTGAGGGAAGCTGCCAAACTGGAAAATTTAAGCTTGGATTTAATGGTGTTGTGCTCCCCCATTCCAGGGTATGGAATTTAAGAGATTTTTCTGCATTAAGGCAGGACCCCAAAGAGCCACCCTCCATAAAAGGAAAATTGAAAAAAAAAAAACTACTACCATCCCGAGGTCTCAAGGACATCTACCTGTCTTGAACATGGGTGCCAAGTTAAATGAAAAAAATATCTCCCTGGATAATTAATAGCCTCAAATCAGGTTTATAACTTATGCAGGCTGATAAACCAAATTCTCACAACCTGGGCGGTCTGAAAAAGTAGAGAATCTAATTAAAGTGACCTCAGGTTGGTTATTCCCCTGGGTACTAGGAAACTCTATCTTGAGGAAGCTACCTCTATTTAGGCCTCAAATAGTGCAACAAATAAAATTCTAAGAAATATGAGCTCATGTTAAAAAAAATTGCAAAACACACAGAGAAAGAAGGCACCATGAGTGACAGTCAGCATAAACACCAGACAGCAGAACCAGGTCCACGAGGACTTCAGGTATTAGAGTGATAAGGAGCAGAATATAAAGTAAGTATGTTTAATATTTTTAAAGAAAAAAAAGAAATTACTAATAAGAATAGAGAGCAAGAGACTGTATAATAACCAAGCAGAACATTTTGTAGCAGATTTGGAGAAAAGCCAAGTAAAACTTCATGAAACATATTAAAAACTCACTAGAGACATACGACAGAAAATTAGATACTACTGAAGAGAGAATTCATGAAATGAAAAGAGATCTAAAGAAACTATTCAGGATTCAGCACAGAGAAATGAAGAGATAACAGAATGAAAGAGAAGTATTATACACGGAAGATAGTGTGAGAAGGTCTAAGAAACAGAGTTACAGAAGGAGAGAAAAGTTGGGAAGCAGCAACAATTGAATGAATAGTAGATGAAAAATTTGTAGAACTGACTAAATATACTAACTTGCATGTACATAAAGCCCAACAAACCACTAGCTTGAAAACGGAAAAAGAAATCCACACCCAGACACATGACATACAATATCAAAAGGAGAATCTTAAAAGTAGCTAGAGAGAAAAGCAGATTATCTTTGAAGGAATGGCAATTAGATACCTGACTTCTCAACAGCAACGATGGAATTCAGAAGACAGTAGAAGAATATCTTCAAAATACTAAGAGAAAATAACTGAAATCTAGAGTTGCATATTCAGTGAAAATACCTTTTAAGAATGAGGGCAAAATGAAGGTCTTTCAAGAGAGACACAAAATAAGAGAGACTTTGCTAAAGGTAATTGTAAAGAATATATTTCATATAAAAAAAACAGATATATCAGACTTGAAGCCTGGTATATAAGAAGGAATTAAAAATTTTTAAATGTGGAAGCTACTGAAGTACCTGCTCCTCTAAACAAAGGAGTAAACTAAGAAAGATAAAGACACTGGATACAGGGAATGAGAGAGAAGCAAAATTAACCTGGGGATGATGACAGAGAAAGATCTAGAATGAAAGCTACCTGTCAGGTACAGGGAACCAGGGAAGGCCAGGTGCTCTTAGAATTCTTTAGTCATACAAAACAACTAGAAAACCTGATCTGTCTGAATGTTTCAGAAAAAATTTAGAAAAAAGGCAGTTTATGTGTGTGTATATGTGTGTGTGTGGGGGGAATTAATGATACATATGTAGCAAACTAAAAAAAGGAAAGCAGAGACTAGAAAATGATAACATTTTAGAAAATCACGATTTTTTGCAGGAGAGAAAAATAAATAGAGCTGACTAAATGATGTATACATTATATTGTTAAAACATAAACTACCCAATGGTCATTTAACACTAATATAACACTTTAACTTTATTGGATGGATAGGGATGAGGTTTCACTTATGTGAGGAGGATGTGGGGAGAGGGAAGGAAGTAGGCTAAATCTTCTTTTTCTATAGTGTGGAGTCAATAGATAATGTCTAAAACTAAAGAAAAACTAAAAAAGATTTAAGAAGTAGCAATACATGTTATTTGCAGACACGGGGTAAATACCAGAATAAGTAACGACTATTACCTCCAGGGAGGGCTAATGGGGCGGGGAGCGGGGAGGGCGGCAGGGTGCAGCAGGTGGGGCAGATAACTGGTTTTTGTATCAAACCTTGTCTGAGTGTTTCACTTTTTCAATTACTGGCATTTATATCTTCGTTAGAAACAATGTGGTCTTTAAAGAAAAGTGGACAGTGCCTAACTCAGAAAACCTCTCTTTCAGTTGACGTCTACCAGTTTGGACTTTCCAGCAAGAGAGCAAATGCGAATATTTAAAAAATGCTGCACCTGAGTGTAAATCAAGATGCTCATCATCGAGGATGCTATTGCTCAAGTACTCACTATGTACCAGGCACAGAGGGCTTTACTAACTAATTCTGAAAACAACTCAGGAAGGAAGGTATTAGATAGGGAAACTGAGGCTCATAAAGAGAGTGACATGTCTAGGTTGGAGTGTGAACCCAGGACTGTTTGACTGCAAAGCCTGTGTTCTTTAAGTATTATACTAACTCCTCCCCCACGTGGGTTTCTGCAGTGAACCCTCTATAATGGGGAAATGGGATGAAGCCGTTCTGGATAACTGTGTGGGTGCCACTCCCTCCCTCCTGCAGCTGTAGAAAATTGAGTGGAGGAGCATCCTAGAGACTTACGGAGTAGGTGACACCGCTGGAAGACACAGGGGATGCCTCGTTGTTGGCAGAAGTGCTCACGGCCAGAGAAGCCAAGGCGGGGAAGAGACTTTCCATTTCGGGCTCCTCTGAGAGGTTGTCTTCACTATCTGCCCGGCTACGCTTCGCCACCTCGCTGCCCACCCAGCTCTCCATTGCGGTGCTGTCTTTTTCAGGCAGAGCCACGTCCATGCTGCCAGTAATAGACATGAACTCATCCATGCTCTCATTGGCGAGAAAGTCACTCTCCAGGCTGTCCTGCACGGCCAGCTCCTCACGGGGGGCCTCATCCCGGGAAGTGGTAGCCTCGCTGCTCTGCCCATCATCCACGCTGCTGTCCCCCGGTCGAAGCACCAGGGAAGCGTTCCGTTGGGCGTCCATAACACTGTCTTCCGTACTCAGGCTGGGCTCCGAGTGCTCCGAGAGGCCTGAGGAGAAGTTGTGGGAGGAAGGATGGCCGGAGTCTGGGGAACAGGTGCCATTCACCAGGTTCCCATTGGGGATCTTGGGCTGTTTCTCCTCCAACCTGCCTTCTGCCTCCACCTGTTCCACCTCGTCCACGGACTCAAACACCTGAAGGTGCACAAAGACAGATGGACTAGGATGGACACTGTGTTGCTGTTTCTAGCAGTAACCTAAAAGTTCATCAACAGGGGATTGATTCAAATACAGAACATGCATGCAGCGGAATACTGTATAGTCAGTAGAAAGAGTGGTGCAGAGCCAGGTGTCATATATAGCTCCCTTTCGCGAAGTATAAAAAAGTGACCTACATGCATGGAAATGCATGGAATAATCCAGAAAGAAGCAAAGAAGCATTGCACTTGACTCTATGAAGAGATTACTAGGGAATTGAAATGGGAGGAAAATACCTTTCATCATACAAACTTATGCACACAAGATTTTTTTGAAGTAAAATATTAGTTGACAACATAAGGAACAGGCTAAATAAAGAATATTATATCCATGTGGTTGACTATAATGGATCAATTTTCAAAAGTAGTCAGGTGTACAGCTGATCCTTGAACAATGCAAGAGATAGGGGTGCCAAACATCCGCAGAGTCAAAAATCCAAGTATAACTTTTGACTCCTCAAAAACTTAACTATGAAGAGCCTGCTGTTGACTGGAAGCCTTACTGGAAACATAAACAGTGAGTTAACACATACTTTGTATGTTATATGTATTATATGCTCTATTCTTACAATAAAGGAAGCTAGAGAAAAGAAAATGTTAAGAAAACTATAAGGAAGAGAAAATTCACTTACAGTATTGTACGTATTTATCAGAAAAAATCCACATATAAGTGTACCTGAGCAGTTCAGACCTGTGTTTTTCAAGGATCAACTACATATCAAACACTATGGAAAAATCTCCAGAATACATTTCAAAGATTTATTTGTGGTCCTTTGTGTCCTTAGGCTATATCTCATCAAGGATAGACTGTATAAGACAGTATAAGACCATGTCACCTGAAAATTTCTTTGCTGTATGGTTATGTCACCAATTTGATTTACTGTTAGTTTCAAGTGTTTAAGTTTTTTAAATTTCTTTTTGATTAACTTGCTTTAAATTATGTTAAAAAATTTACCCAACTCCAAAGTCAAAATAAGAAAACAAGGTATATTCAGGGAAATGTAGCTTTTTTCCTTGCCCCCACCTCCCATAGGTAACCATTTTAATTAGTTTCTGGTTATCCTTCTATTGTTTTTGAAGAGAGATGCAAATACATGCACATATTAATATTTGTGCTTTTTACACATAAAGTGACATAGTATGCACAATTTTTATACTTCGCTTTTTTCTTTAATATTGAGTAAGACTGAATTAACATTCCTTCTCACTGAATAAAATGGAAAGTTATTGAAAAATACATACATTGGTGTTTATGTAGAAATTTTAAGACTACCAAACACTGCAGTATATTGACTATATACTGCCTACATATTTCGGTGTATGTAAAGGCATACAGAAGGGTCTGGAGGATACACAGCAAACTGATGATAGCAGTGTTATTTCTAGGGAGGGCAAGTGGGGATTAAGGATGGTCACAGCCAAATTTAGCTTTCTGTGCAATATTTTAATTTTTTTACAGGGAAAATAGATTCATATATTACTTGTGTAACTAAAAACTCAAATTTTAATGCTAGTATAAAAAGCTAAAACAAATAAACCATAAGTGACCTGTAGATGATGGGCATCTAATCCCATTATTCCAAGTTGTAGGGGGCGGAGTTGGGTGGGGAGGGGGCGGGGCCTCCAGAAGGTCACCTGTGTGCTGCTGCTGGAGTCGCTCTGCAGTCGGATGTTCTGCCGGCCGGAACTGCAGCTCTGGGAGGACTGAGGGAAAAAGAGGCAAGAGGGAGAGTAAGTTAGGCTGCATCTTTCCTGCTTAGGGTCCCTGTACTGAGTTCAGAAAGGACAGCTGGTGAGTCAGGAAATCTAGATTTATCCTTATCCCTGACTGAGAGTAACTGGTTGTATGAATGGCCCAATTTTTTACTCCCCTCTCTGTATATATGCTTTTTGTCCCGTAACTTCTAGTTACTGCATACTCTATTTGGCTTGGCCATGTGACCTACTTCGGCCAATGGGATGTTAGCAAAGTCGCCAGGGCAGAGGCTTGAAAAGTGCTGTGTGTGTCTCTCATACGGATCTGGTTCACTGTGAAAACATACCCGGGTTAGCCCGCTGGAGGCTGAGACTTGGAGCAGAACCAAGTCACCCCAGGAATGTGAGAGAGCCCAGTGAAGGTTAACAAACATTTTAGCTGACCAGTTGCTGACAGCAAGCACGAGAGTGAGCCCACCCAGTCAGGCTCAGAAGAGAACTGACCCACAGACTGATGAGAAAAAATGCATATTGTTGGAAGTCTTTGACTTCTGGGGGTTGTCTGTCATGCAGTATTAGTGTGGCAATTGATGGCAGGTCCATCATTAGTAAAGAGAATTAACTTAATTCTCAGCTCCTGCTTTGGGCTGCTAGAGATTCTGTGAGGACAGATATATCTGACTTGGTCACCGAAGCACTTTGGACATTCCAGAACATTCCTGATAGTACCTGGCACATGGTAGGTACTCAGTAAGGTTTCTTGAATAAATGAAAGTCTAGCTCTGTGCTGGGTGCTTTATGCGCACTATCTCGTTTGGGCTACACACAGATTAATGATTATATCTATTTAATGGATGAGGAGGCCAAAGCCCAGAAGTAAGGGAGTTCAAACTCGGGTCTATCAGACTCCAAAGACACCTTCTACCCAAAAACTGGGGGTGAGACTCTGTCCCAAGGCCCCAGACACCCAGCCCTCACCATTCCTACAACAGCCTGATGGAGTAGATCCTGGCCTCCACCGCCCCCCTGCTCCCTGAGGTGAGCCTCCCATCACCTCGTTGCTGACGGTGGAGTCTCGGTGCATCATCCGGTGCAGGTGGCTGTCCAGGCTGGCCCCTGATGAGCATTTGGCCAGGGCGGCCGCATGAGACTCGCGCTCCCTCTGCCGCACGATTGCCTCACAGCCCAGCCATTCAGCCATGGTCTGTGCATAGCAGGCATGAATCTGCTCGTCCACCTGCCAGGGCAGATACAAGGTCACGCCCAATGCTAGGACCCCTGGGGAGAGGGTGGCTCTGACTCAGGAGTCTGAGCCTCCTTCCAGGTGCCCGCTTGTTCCAGCACGGCCCCTCCTATCCATCGACCACTCAGCAGCCTTTCTCCTTGTTCCCTCTCCAGCCCCACCTCTTGCTGCTGCCTCCACACCTCTGTCCTTTATGTTTCAGCCACCCACATCCACCACACCCTTCTGCTCTCCCCCACACAAACGCACACAGACGTACACACCCTGCATCATGCGAGTGTCTCCTCTAGGGATTGCTCTTGCTGTCCCCTCTTCCTGAGGCCCTTCCTTACCCTTACCTTGACTAGAAGCAATTCCTTTAAAGAATTCTGGCAGCCTTCTGCCTGGCATAGGTGCCTTCCATGTGATCTTACAAACCCTGAGTTTGCCTCCAACTGACTTTGCAAAACCCCACTTAACTGGCAAGGACTTCCTCTAATGTACCTCTGGGTCCCTAGTCCTGAGCACAGGGCCTGGCATGCTGGATTTATTGGTGAGCATCTGCCCAGGAATCCACCAGGCATAAGGGAAAGCAGAGATGGGCCTCAGGCTGGTACCAAGATGACTTAGACAGTTCACTGGCACAGGTCTCATCACATGCAACCACGCAGTGAAGAAACTTCCATTTTCAACTTTCCTTCAATTTTTCTGATTAGCAGGAAGGCCAGGCTGGTGCTACCGTGTCATCAATATCTCCTTCACACTTTATAATCTCCATTTTTAACAAAGAGAGAGTAGGCTTCAGGCAGGCTACTGCATCTAGGTAGAACTGAATTATATCATTTTGTCATATTCCATTTATTTTTTAGTTTCCTTCCACCTATGGCAAGTCATATTGGTTTTCCATTGATGGCAGGGATATAAAATATCTTTTTATATAAGTTATATAAAATTTTAAGTGAGTCAATTTTGAGACAAATATTTAGTTAATAGCAGCATAGATGGTATGTAGAGTGTAAAATACCACCAGATTTTGAAAATTTAGTGCAAATAAAATAATGTAAAATATCTTACTAGTAATTATACTGCTACATGATGAAATTATAACAATATTGGATATACTGGATTAAATAAAATATGATTAAAATTAATTACACTTTGATGAAATGACACATGCATGCACGTGTGCGCGCGCGCGCGCACACACACACACACACACACACACAAGCAAATGCAAAACCTAGTAAGGTCTGCGGTCTACCTAGTGGTACTGTGCTGTTGCGAATGTCCTGGTTTGAGAATACACTGTGGTTCTGTAGATGTTTCCACTAGGGAAAGTAAGGCAATGTTCACACAGGATCTCTGAATTATTTTTGCAACTTCTTATAATTATTTCAAAATAAAAAGCTTGAAAATATTAATTGCATCTGTTTCTTTTTACCCTTAAAAATGTAATGTATACAACATTTAAAGTTACATATGTGCTACTGTTATCAAGACAGTGTAGTATTAGCAGAAGAGTACTAATTATAGTGCTCTATATGTATATACACGTATATATGCATATACACATGTGTATATATATGTATATATGTATATGTGTACACACACACACACACACACACACACACACACACACATATATGGAGCAGGATAAAGAATACAGAAATAAAGCCACCCTAATATGCCCAACTGATTTTTGACAAAGATGTAGAAGCAATTCAATGGAGGAAAGCTAGCTTCTTCAACAAATGGTGTTACAGCAACTGGACATCCATAGACAAAAAAATGAACCTTCAGGTAAACAACACATTGTATGCAAAAATGGAGTCAAAATGGATCAGACCGAAATATAAAAAGTAAAACTACAAAATTTTTAGAAAAAAACATAAGAGAAATTCTTCGAGATTTAGTGCTAGGCAAAAAATTCTAACTTGACACCAAAAACATAATCCACAGAGGAAAACCTGATAAATTGAACCTCATCAAAAATTTATTCTGTAAAAGATCCTGTTAAGAAGATGAAAAGACAAGGTACAGACTGGGAGAAAATATTTGCAAATCACATATCTGACAAAGAATTAATATCTAGAGCATATAAAGAACTCCCAAACAATTTGATTAGAAAATAGACAGAAGACATTAGCTGACACTTCACCAAAGATATACAGATGGCAAGTAAGCATGTGCAAAGATGCTCAATATCACTAGCCATTTGGGAAATGCAAATTAAAACCACAATGAAATACGATTTACGTACCTGTCTAAATGGCTAACACGAAAAATAATGACAACACCAAATTCTGGTCAGGATGCACATGTGGATCACTCATATATTGCTAGCCAGAACATAAAATGTTACAGCCATGCAAAAGTTTGGCAGTTTATAAAACTAGGCATTTATAAGCTTCTTATAAAACTAACCATATTACCCAGCAATTGCTCTCTTGAGCATTTATCTAAATACACACACACACACACATTTATCTCAACTTATGCTCATGAGAAAACCTGCATATGAATGATCATTGCAGTTTTATTTGTAATAGTCAAAACACTGGAAATGAGCCACTTATCCATCAGCAGGTGGAGAGTTAAACACACCATGGTGTACCCACACCACGGAACACTGCTCAGCCATAAAAGGAACCAACTGTTGATACACACGACTTGGATGAATTGCTGAGAAACGTTAATTCCGAAAGGTCACATACTGTATGACTCCATTTATACAGTATTCTTGAAACGACAAAATTATAGGAATAGAGAATAAATCAGTGGTGGCCCAGGGCTGGGGATGAGGGAGAGTGGTGGGAGGTTCGTGTGGCTACAGAAGGACAGCACAAGGATGCTCATAGTACTAGAAATGTCCAGTATGTTGATGAGGTGGTGATAGGCAAGCTTACACGTGTGATAAAACTGCAGAGAACTAAATACACACACACACACACACACACACAGACAAATGAGTACAAGTGAATCAGGAAGTCTAAATAAGACTGGTATATTGCACCCATGACAATATCCCAGGTGTGATACTGCACCATGGTTTGGGGAAAACTGGATAAAGAATATGTGACATCTTCCTGCATTTTTTCTTACAACCGCATGGGCTTCTATAGTTATCTCAACATAGAAAGCGTATTCTAAAAAAAGACACCCGTGGCTTGTGCTGTATTTCTATTGGACAGCGCTGGCCTTGATTCCCCGGTGCCACCTTGGGCCAACATGAGATAGGAGCTCCCCCAGCCCCACAGAACTTGGCTCTTTTTGTTGCCAAAGACCCCACTGCCCATCGGGGTAACCAACCTCCTTCCTTTCTGTTTCCGTCATCCCGAACTGGTAGTGGCCTAGGAGGAAGGGCCACACGGCCTTGCGAATCTCCGGCTGAATGCCCCCATAGTAGATGAGGCGCAGCAGCTCCTGTTCCTCGTAACTCTGTGGTGGGAGGTGGGCAGGGGAGGGAGCAAAGGGTTTGGTCAACAGAAAACCAGGGAGTGGACGCTGTGACCGGGGAGTACTGCTTCTTGGACCTAACCCTCAGAGATCCTGCTGTGAATGAGCAAAACCATATGTACCCAGATATCCACTGTGGCATCAAAAGAGAAAGCAAAACCCTGGAGACCCTTCAGCTGCCCACCAATGGCGGAACAGTGCACTTCTACATGGGAATACTGCCCGCAGAGTAAAAGGGAGGGAGGTGCATCTGGAGAATCTACACAAAAAGATATTCAATGAGTAATTTTTGTTTTAAAAAAAAAAAAAAAGGCCAGCATGTAATGAACTTACATTTCTACTTAATTTTCAGTCAATTTTGTGTACTACGCTTATTTTGGAATATTATCTTGGATTTATTAATCTTGACTCAGCTCTAAGAAAATTGTTTTAAAGCAAATCAATCCACCATAAACATTTGCAGCTGGTTCTCCATATACTAATCTTTTTTGTGCACACTTGGGATGAATTTAACAACTGTTTGTTCTCTTGTGGAGTAGATTTCCTCTGCTTTATTAAAAATTCATTTTTAGGCAATGGCTTTGCAGTTACAGTGAGTCCAGTTGGGTGACCAGCAGGTCCTATTAGTGTGTATGTGCGTAAAGTGACAATGATTTCTTAAAAGCTACTCTAAAGGGCACTTGGATCCTGTTTCCGTTTCCTCTTAACTCTTTATTTCACATTCCAAAATTAAAAAAAAATATTTCACATCTTATTGCTAGTCTTAGATGTACCCCAAAACAACGGCAAAAACAGCCATTCTCTTGTCCCTACTGGAATTTTGGTTTGCATTATGTAGACCGCTTTGTCAAAGCTGTTTAAAAATCAGAGGGCTATGTGTGGCTGATGTGAACTCTTCATCAAAAATCCACCTCCTCTTCTCCTGGAGCCCAGAGCTGGACTCTCTTTCCCAGCCTCCCTTGCAGTTAGGTGTGGCCATTAGCCTGGGTTCTACCAATGGGACGTGAGAGGAAGTGATGCAAGCCATTTCAAGGCCAGAGCTTTGAAAAAGTAGGTGTACTCCCCTCAGTCTCTCCACTTCCCCTCTGCTATCTGGAGGCAGATGACCATGAGTCCCTGAAGGACGGTGAGGCCACAAGACCGAATGATCCTTCTAGAGAAAGGAGAGATGCCCACTCAGCAGGATTTTTTTTTAACTATTAAGTGAGCAAGAAATATACCCCTGTGGTGTCAAGCAACTAAAATAGCAAGAATTATTTGTAACTGCGTCTCAGTGTACCCTAATACAACAACGCAACCAACAAAGGTGAAAACATGGCCAAACAAGTTATAAAAGGGTTGTAAAATGTTAGATGAAAAATATTCAGTTTTGACTACTGTTTCAATCAATTTGTCCTTAGACTAGTGCCTCCCAAATTGACAAGATCACTAGAAGCATTTGACGAACTTTCAAAAAATATAAATTCTTGGGCTCCGCTCCAAGAGATGCTAAATCAGTAAAGCTGGAGGGGAGCCCAGATGTCTATAAATCCTAAATTCTTCAGGAAATGTGCACTCTCGTAGACTGCCAGGATTATGAACACCATGACCTTTTGAGAAAGTAAGCTGGCATATCTGTTTAAATTTTAAATTCATATCAATTTTATTCTAAGAATCTACATTAGAAATAAAAGCACTAGTGCAGACAGGTATGTGCTTATAGAAATATAGACTGCGGCACTGTTTGAAATAAAAAAAAAGAGAGGGGGAGAGGCCAGATGTCTATCATTAGGGGAAGTGGTGAATAAATTATGGCCCACCCATAGATGAGGTGCTGCGATTTTAACATTCGACATTTCACCCAGAGATGTGAAAGGCATCCTTGCTATAAAAGTAAGTTCATCACTTAAAATACATATATAATGTCACCTCATTTTTAAAAAATAAGAATTACAGGTATATCTAATAGGTATCTATGAACGTATAAGCATAGAAAATGTAAGAAAGGATCTATGTCAAACTGATAATATTTGTTAATTCAGGGACATAAACTGGAGGAGTGTAGCAGATGGATAATATTTTAAAAATTTGTATTTTATACACCTGCGTTCTTCATTCTTTGAATCATTACAGTAAGTAGGCATTCTTCCTATAATTTAGAAAAACAACTATTTATGGCAAAAATGTAAAACAACTCTTCTGCTTGTCTAGTTTGGGGAACCAGCTTGTTTTTCTCACTGAGTCCCTAGGAGTTCCCAAATTAATACACAGAATAGCACCTTCACCTGGTGTGGGAGAGCCACCCCTTATCCGGGTGCTCACCAGCTTGGCCTCCCCCGGGCCCGGGGCAGAAAGGCACACAGCTGACAGAGCCACTAGATTCATCCAGTGTGGAGGAAATGGGTATCTCCTCCAAATGGCTGCTCTTGGCAGCAGTTAAACTAGTATTTCTCAAAGTGGAGTCTGCCTTCCATACTTTTCCAAAAAGGTTTCTGTGGCCAAATACATTTGAGGGAGTATTCCATATGCTCTCCCACACGCCCGAAATTTCTTGAGAATGACAAGCATATTAGCATAGCTAAGGTTCTGAGAAGTCCTGCAGGATACAGAAAGTTGTTTAATCTTCTTTCCAAAACTAACTATAAAACTTTTTTTAAACATAAACATATTCCTTCCAGGGACATCTGTATTCTAATAGGAAAACTTAGAATCTATCTCCAGGTGAAATGCCTTGTGGAAGAATTCTTAGGCTTTAAGACAGAAGTGGGACAGTTTCAAACAGTGGTGGGGTTTTCTTGGTCCAGCTGTCTCCCTGTAGCTTAGCTACTCTCATCAATCTAAGTAGTTTCAACCAGATTGTAAATTCCTCTGGCTGGGGACTCACAGCACTTTCTGCAGCACTGATCATACAGCTGATACTTAATAAATGCTTAGTGACTGATTCATCGTTTACTTCTTCCAGGAGAGCATATGTATTTCCCATCCTTCTTGGTCATCAGCCCAATGGGCAGAAACAGGCTATGGATCTTGGAACTCTCAAGAAGAGGAGAGGGCCTTCAATTTGAGTATTAAGAACCCAAGGATGTCACACAACACCCTTGAGTCCCCACAAGCAGGTGGGTCTATTCTTCAGATGTCAAGACAGCCCCTCCACCCCATTCCCTGAGTCTCTGACCCAGGCTGAGCCAGGCCAAGCCTTACTGTGCTGTCCTGAAGGTACTGCTCCCAGATCTCAGCTGTCAGCCCATGTCCAGCATCGCAGGGCAAGTCCGGAGACACAATCATGTGATTGACTAGGGCTGATAGGTGGGTCCTCACAGTGGACAGGTGTCTGCAGTAGGCAAGCCCTGCCAGAAGAGGGAGGGAAAGGGTCATCATCCAGCATCCAACGCTCTTTGCCTTGTTTCACGGAGTCTAAGTGCCATCTACAATCTTAGTGAACCCTTATGACCCGGCAAATTCTTATCGTCACCCTCTTCCGGGAAAAAAAGGTTAGGCTCAGAGGGCTGAAGTCATCTGTTGGCTTCGTTGCTTAATAACTCTGTGACCCTGGGAAGTCCTATCTCCTTTCTCAGCTTTGCTCAGGGTGACACCAGTTCATAGGCTGGAGGCAGAGAAGGGGCAAGCAGGAAGGGGCTAGTGACTCTTCAGACTCACGGTGCTTCTGGATGCCTCTAATTCATGCCAAGAGAGAAAGAGAGTAAGAGAGGAGGAAGACTCTTGTTCAAACTGCAGCTGGATAAAGAAGGTCCTGGTGAGTCATAACTGAGAAGATGCCGAGGGCACATGGTTTGCTTTCAAAGATTGCCCTGCACTGTTAAAAGAATGTCTGCCAACCTGTCACCCTTCGCCCACTCCACACTGGGCACCTGGAAGGCACAGTGCCTGGCACACAGGAGGCACTAGGCAAATGCCGGCTTATTGGTTTTGACTGTGTCCCTTCCTTCTTGCTCTCTCTCACCTTCTCATTCTTGTCTCCCAGAGAGGTCTCTAGACATTCCAGAGCCTGAGGACTTGCCCCTACCGACAATGAGGATAATCATGATGATGATGATGATGACAATGGCTAACTTACACAGCCCATACTACATTCCATGGAGCCATTTCTGGAGCTTACATAACTCATTTAATTATCACCACAACCCTATGAAGAGGAACTCTTATTATCCCCATCTTATAGATGGAGAAACCGAGGCACAGACTGGTTTCATCACTTGTCTGTTCACTTTGTTAAGAAGTATGGAGTTGGGATTTGAACCCAAGCTGCCTGGCTTCAGAACCCGGGCTCTGGGCTCTAAACCGCCATCAGGGATGAGCCATATTGTGTGATTACATCATTAGAGGCCCATCTTGACCCCCACCCCTTCTTCCAGGAAGCTTTTCCATTTGGGTTCCATCAATACTCACCCACGGCCTACTCCATTCCAGGCTCTGCATTAGGCACTGGGGATAGGTGGTAACAGAACAGAAAAAAACCTTGATCTTGGGGAGCTCATGCTCTCCTTGCCTTTCCAGCACTCGGGGATACGACGTGCCATGCAATTTTGCAGGCCCTTGAATGATGTAGTAACGCTTTTCTAGAATCCCTGAAAATACACACATTTTCTATCCCCTATCTAGGTTCGTGAGGCTGGGGAAATAAAACCTGCTAAGAATCAATATAGTAGAGTGGGAAAAACAGAGCCTTTGCAGTCAGACAGGCCTGAGTTTGAGTGCTAGCTCTGTTGCTTATTATCTGTGTGACCTTGGTCAAGTCACCTCACCTCCCTGTGCCTTAGTTTCCTCATCTGTTAAATGGAAATAATCAGAATACTTGTATTATAAATTTGATTTTTAAGTTTTTGGGAAGGGATCAGGCTGCTTCCCTTGTCTGCCTCTGCTAATGGGAAAAAGGAACTGGCATTCACTAAACAGCCATGATGGGCAATACTAGGTGCTAGGGGCTTTATGCACACTTCTCATTCAACCCTGAAAACAAACACTCTAAGGTGGGCACTGGGAATGTAACAGTGATTAAACCAAATCCTGGCCATCAAGGAACCCCACTGTTCACTGCCCCCTGTTAGGACTGAGGAATGAAATTTATCCCCAATCTGTAGATGAGGAAATTGAGGCTCAGCGAGGTTAATATAACTTCATCAAAACTAGACATCTAGGAAACAGAGGAGCAGCAGTTCACAGAGCCAGGCTCCTTTCTCTGATATCGCTGGCAGGTAGTAGGCCCTCAGTGAATGCTCTCTGGAGACTAGAATGGCGAATAAGACCAATACGCACATCCATAGAAGGCTCTGGAAAGGATCTGGTACTTCATATTGTCACAGAGAAGCTTCAGGGGGGCCCTGCAGGCAGAAGAAGAGGGAGACCCTTAGGACAGATCCACACAGGTTTCTTGGAGAGGAGTATAACTTGTTATCTCTAGGAGCAAACTGAAACTACCCAGTCGAATGGACTATGGGAGTATTGTTTCTACCCATACAGCATCGCTGCCCCTTCTGCTATCAGCTTGGGAGTCCTCCCTTCCCCAACTCTCTGTCTCTATGTTTTGGGTGGGGCTAATTCCATCCAGTACAGAACTCAGGTTGCAGTATCACTGATTGGGTCAGAGATGGTCATGTGATCCAACCTGAGCCAGTGAGAGTCAGCCCTGGGACTTCTGTTGGAATGACTAGGAAATAGACACTCTTTTCTTTGCTTGAGTTCCTAAGCCAGTGAGATATGAGGCAGTGGCTGCTGGGATCCATTTTTGCCAATACATAGAAGGGCCTGTCTAAGAATGAAACCATCATAGCGGCAAACAGAAGCAAAAGCTGAAGATACAGAGAGTCCTGTTTTGAGCATCTTGATCCAGCCATGCCTGAAGCCACTATGCCTCTGGCCTTCTCGGTTCTGTCAACAGACTTTGTTTTTGACTTGAACCAGTCTGAAGTGGGTTTCTGTCACTTGCAGAAAGACTCCTGACTTCTAATGTGACCCAGCTAAATCAGATGAGCAAAACGGGTTCAGAGTCTGGCTGATTACAAAGCAGGTGTTGCTTCAGAGCTACTCCTTACATGAGAATTTTGGGGGGCTTTTTTGGCTGAAAGAGGAGAGTAGGGTAAGACCCCAGCATTGTTGAAGAAAGCAAGGACTGCTGAAGGGAGTGCTGTGCATTCCTGTAAAGAACAGGGAGGAAAAACATCCCAAGATACACCCAGGGAAATCCAGGAGACTGGGAAGGAGGCATGGCTGAAGTGCTCCAGTTATGCACAGGGAGACATTAGACATTAAAGCCAAACTCTTTATGCTCTCAGGCTGGTATGGCTCAGGCTTGCTCAGATTGCATGAGAATAGCATCACGCTGGCAGTTGTCCCACATTGTACTTGGCTATCTGCAAGATGGTGAGATTGCTGTCGCTACAGGTGTGTAAGCAGATAAGAGGGAGCCCTATGTTAGAACTGCATGTTTCAGTGATCCATGGACCAGTCGCCCATGAATCACTTGGAATTTCTCCAACATGTGGATTTCTAGGCCCCACGCTGATCTACTCAATCAGGTCCTCTAGGAAGTAGACCAGGAACCATTACATTTTGTTACTTCCTCCAGGTGATTCTGCTGCACATTAAGATGTAAGACTCTCCAGTTATATCAGTGCTTCTCAAACTTAAAAATACACACGTGATGTTGGGGTCTAATTAAATGCATATCTGCTTCAGTAGGTCTGGGATGAAGGACTGAGAAGATACTCAGGTGATGATGCTGCTGTTTCACAGACTGCACATTGAAAGCCAGGGCTTAGATAACCTCAAAAATTTGATGCCAACCCCCATGCTCCTATGGCTGAAGAATGGACCACCCAAGGCCTAGCAAGCGAAAAAAGGATTCCATTCTCCCAGGCCAGGCTGGGTCAGTGGGAAACAAGACCATTCTTACGAATGGACTGTGTAGTTCTGAAGAGGAAAGAGATAGTCTGGGGATTTAACTTTACACAATAAAATAATAAGTGTCATTTAACGAACATTACTATGTGCCAGGTACCACACGCTGGTTACTTTAAATTGTTGTTTGATTGGTCCTTATAATAGCTATATAAAATAAGCATTAGTGTCCCCATTGGGGGGAGGAGCAAACTGAGGCATGTGTGGTAGTCATTAAGTAATACTTCTGGTTTCTGCTTTCTAGGAGTGTGGGAAGACTGCACTTCCTGGCCTCTTGTGGATGGGGCCAATGAGGTGTAAGTGGAAATGACAGGTGCTACATTCGAGCTGGAGTGTTTAACTGTTGGTTCGAGCCTCTCCAACTTACCTTTTACTCTGTCACTGTGATTGTCAATATTCAAGGAGTTGGTAACTCCATCAGTCAGGCCCTTTAATGTACAGACCCATGAGAGATACGACACGCATGATAAATAAGCCACTGTCATAATAAACCACTGAGATTTTTAGGACTGTTTGTTACTGCGGCAAATTTGTTTATCTTGACTGATACATTTAAGGAAGCTCCAATAGCTAAGGCTTCACAAGGCTAGGAGTAAACCTAGACTTAGATGATTCCATAACTTATGTTCACTCCTCTGAAGTCAGTGCAGGGCAAGCAGTGGGTATCTACAAATCTTTGGTAAATCTTTCTGTTCCCTCAATCTACAGCTCAAGCCCCTCATACCTCTCATGGTTGCAGCCATTGGTTGAGCCACCATCAGCTGAGCCACTCTGTGAACAGGATGGGCAGGAGGATTTTCGGGGGCTGGGTTGCCATAGGGATGGCAGGTTGCTCACAGAGACATCCATTAGGTCCTGGGGGACTGTGGTAGATAAAAGGGGCAGAGAAACAGCCCTGGTTAAGCCTATGTGGTCACAGAAACCTCATCCCAAAGCAAGCGGCTCACTCCCAGGCCAGCACAGGGGCAGAAAAAGACACTGAATGTCACAGCAGAAAACAGTGAGCCCAATCATTGCCTGAGCCAGGTCCCTGAGACCACCTGATCCAATGAAAGCCACCACCAAGATTTGGAGCCATCAGCAAATGGGCAGAGCTGATGACAGCTGAAGAGAGAGGAAGAAAACAGAGGGAGAGAGAGAGAGACCAGAACCAAGAAAATACGTCCAATCCCAGAGCAGGAGACCAAGCCTCACCATGTTGTCATTCAGCTGTCCTCACAGGAGGCTGACTTGAAGGAAGGGGAGCCTCCTAGGGGTTTCTGGGGAAGGCTGACAGTTGTGAGTCTCTAGAAATAGACTCTCTGGGTGACAGAGTCTCTGGTAGTGAGACAGATGGGTGCCTGACTAATCAGATGAGGCAGGGCACAAAAGGCAAGGACCTAGTGGAATGCCCACTGATGAGGGCACCAGCACTGTCCATGGTCCTGAGCCATACATCTGCCCCACAATGGGTCTCAAATAGGTCGGTAACCCTCCAGAATCATGTGGGGAGAGGGCTTGTTAAAAAGCCATAAGCCTGTATCCCACCCCTGACCTACTGAATTAAAACCTCCTGGAGATACAGTCCTTGAGTCTTTATTTCAAAAACAATTTTGACATAGCAGCCACATTTGAGAATCAAGAGGGCATGACTGATTTCCTAACTCCTGGACATTGGTGATTCCTGATCAATTACTCCCAGGATACAGCACTTATTGTTTCCCTTACTGCTTTCTTTCCCAGCTCTATGAAAGACCTCAGCATCTGCAATGCTGCAGAACAAACATACTGGTGACATACACATTATAATTTCTATAACTAACATCTTGGCCTCTTGGCAGTTCTAGACAAGTGCAAAAATTTTATTTTCTCTAAGATAGGGCTTGGTAAATATATTCTGTAAAGAGCCAGGCAAAAAAAATATTTCGGGGTTAGTGAGCCATTTGATTGCTATCATAATCACTCAATGCTGCTATTGTAGTGCAAACGTAGCCATAAGCAAAATGCAAACAAATGAGCATGGATGTATTCTAATAAAACTTTATTTATAGGTGCTGAAATATGAGTTTCATATCACTTTCACTTGTCACAAAATATTATCCTTATTTTGACTTTTTTTTTCAGTTATTTAAAAAATGTAAAAAACATTCTCAGCTCATGGGCTGAATTTGGCCTGTGGCCCATAACTTGCCAAGCCCTGCTCTAGGAAATTAAGAGGGGTGTACATTTGCCTCATGTGCCATGTGTCCTCAAGGATGACTGATAACACCCCGCCTCTTCCTTCAGGCTCCACGGGGAGGGTAGTTGTGGACCTGGCCCCCAACTTGTCATCAGAGCTCAAAAGTTGATAGGGTCTGCCCATACCCAGTGACAGAGTAGGAAGCTGCCTAAAGAACGAGGGTTTTGGGGTCACCAAAAGCAGCTTGTTATACTACTACTCTCCATGCAGACTGACCGATGAGCCATCCAAGAAAGACCACTCAGCACTTGTAAAATATTCTAGAAAAATGGACCCAGCTCTTAGTGAATCTCAGGCAAGCACTGATCAGTTGCACCCAGTGTGGCAAGCATGTCTATGCCTCCAGCCCCTCCCACACTGCAGACATCACCAATGGACCCCTTCACTACTGAACCCATACACTCCAAGCTGTGCCCTGCAGGGTGGAGGATGGACACTAAAGGTATCAATTTGTCTCTGCCTCCATCTCCCCTGGGACCAAGACTGAAATGACAACATGGCAGAGGTGGCCAGCACCCAGCCCCAGGGTCGGGGGACCCCAGACATTACTGGGGGGCTGCTGCTTCAGGCCTGGCGTGGGGAGGGTGGCATCCCATCTGGTTTGTGCCCACCGGCTGTCCCTGGCCACCACCAACATGGACCGGCCTGCAGGAACCACCATCCAGGGAGAGCCCACGGAGACAGGGAACGTGTTGCCCAAGGGGTCGGGAACAACTTGAGACACAAAACAAAGAGCACCAGTGAAATCGAAGGTCTGAGGTGGGCAAAACACCGAAATGACCGAAAGAACCAGTTCTCTGGAGCTTGAACCTTTCCCCTGCCCTCCTCCACGTACTGTGTCTGACCAGAGAAAGAAAGAATGCTGATATTTATAAAGTGCCTACTATGTGCTGAGGGCCATGCCTAATCATCCTTAATGAGCCTGTAAGGGATGAGCTTCTTTTCCCATTTTGCAGAAGAGAAAAGTGAAGCTCAGAACGAGACACTATTTAATCAGTCAAGGCCCTACCAGGTAATAACTGGCACAGCTGGTCTATTGACTGAAGTCCCCCCTCTCTTTTCACTAACAACAGACATCACTTACTGAACATAAGTACTATCGTTATCTCTTTTTACAGATTAGGAAACTGAGATACAGAGTATTTAAGCAGTATGCCCAAAACCACCCAGCCAACATGAGGTGCTATGGGTATCTTTTTTTGTATAAACCCAGGGGATTGTATAAACCCAAGATGCTACTCACGCTCTCAGCTGTTTTCCCCTTAGCTGTCACCTCCCCATACCATTCTTGCCTGAGACCAGTGTTTCTCAACTGGTTAATTTTGGTCCCCCAAGGGGCATCTGGTGATGTCTGGAGACAATTTTGATTGTCGCCACTTGGGAATTAGCTAGATGCTACTAACTTCTAATGGGCAGAGCCAGAGATCCTGCTTGACATCCTATAATGTACAAGACACTCCCCTACTCCACACATAAACAATTATTCAGACCCAATGTCAACAGTGCCAAGGTTGAGAAACCCTGTACTAGGCTAGCACTGTCTAACAGGAATACATTATAAGCCACTTGCATAATTAAAAAATTTCTAGTAGCCACACTAAAAGGGCAAAGAAACAGGTGAAGTCAATCTCAACAATATAGTCTCCCTAACCCAATATATCCACAATGTTATCATTTTAACATATAATCAGTATAAAATTATTGATATTTTAAAGTCTTCTTTTTTTTTGTACAAAGTCTTCAATATCCCAGATGTACTGTACGCTTACAGCATACCTCAATTTGGACTAGCTGTATTTCAAGTGCTTGGTAAACCACATGTGGCTTGTACCTGCCACACCAGACATACAGAGACACTCAGAGCCACAGAGCTGTCTGAAAATGCCTTTGTCTGACTGTGAACTTAACTAGGTGTTCTAGAACTTGTCTTTGCCTCCTCTGTGCACAAGGGCAGGCAAAGATCTAAGTTGTGGAGATGGGTAAGAAGACACTGAAAGAGAGTTTTGAACCACCTGTGACTACACCTTCCCTCCCACAGAGTGAAACTCTTTTCTCTCATTATTTAAGGCGGGTGTCTATAAATTTTTTCTGTAAAGGGCCAGATAGCAAATATTTTTGGCTTTGTGGGCCATGCAGTCTCTGTCATAACTATTCCACTCTGCTGTTGTGGCATGAAAGCAGCCACAGACAATATATAAATGAGTGAATATGGCCATGTTTCAATAAAACTTTATTTACAAAACAGGCAGTGGGATGAATTGGCCCACAGGAAAGGGTTTGCCCATTTCTGATTTAGGCACTTCTCCAGAAAAGACTTTATACCTCCCACAGATGAGAAGCATAAGCATAAAGATTGTTTTTTAAAAATAACTCTGTGTGGCTCAGGCCCCTGAGAAAAACCAACCAAGCATGGGGTTACCATTTCCATGATGGATGAATCTGACTTTGAGGATGAAGGGGTGAACCCACAATGCCCTGTCCTCCACAAACGATCTGCATGGAGTAGTGGTGATAGGCACAAGCTCTGGAGCCAGACCACCTGGGTTCAAATTCCAGCCATGCCAACCTTGGACCAGTTTCTTAACCTTTCTGTGTCTTAAGTTCCCTCCTCTGAAAAACAGGGAATGCTGATGACAGTGGTATCTGCCTGGGAGGGCTGTGGTGAGGATTAAATGAATTAAGACATGGATAGCATAGAAGTGGACTTGATACACAGTGGCATTCAATACAGGATACCTACTATGGCTCACTGAACATTAGTCACGTGTCACATTAGGTGTTTGATGTATCATCGCAGTGGCTCCTCAGAATATGATCCTGGGGCAGTGCTGTTATCCCCATTCTACAGACAAGGAAATGAGGCCAGGAGAGTACAAGTCACTTGGCCACATTGCAGTGGCAGCACTGAATGCTGTGATGTTTTCTTTTCTCTAAACCAGCAGTTCTCAACCTGGGGCAATTTTGCCTCTAGAAGACATTTGGCAATGTCTGGAGACATTTCTGGTTGCTGTAACTTGGCATCTAGTGGGTAGAGACCAAGGACACTGCTCAAAATCCCACAATGCACAGGACAGCCCTCCACCACATAGGATTGTTCAATCCAAAATGTCAGTGGTGCCAAGATTGGGAAGCCCTTTCTACATAAACTAAACTGGGTGGGGTTTCTCACAAAGACAGACAGGATTTAAGTGCACATAGTTTATTTGGGAAGTGTTCCCAAGAAGCACAGATAGGGAGAGGTTAAGTGAGACAGGAAGAGGAGGCTGAGAGTAAATTGTCAGTCACCACTGTGGGTAACTGGCACTTGATTTCCTGGGAGACCTCTGGGAGATATGTAGAACATATGCGTCGGAATTTTCTTACCTGAGGGGTAAGGGAGCTGGGGCATTTATATACCACCTCCTGTCAGTCACTGGGCTCAGTGCTGCTCAGGGAGCAGGCATGCCCTGACACTTCTAATCTGCCCCACACATGGGCAGAAGGACCCTGGTGGCCGGAGAACCCCTTCAGGCACAAAGACCCTGAGGCTGGGAGCTGGCAGTGGGGCAGCATGCACAGAGGGCTGTGGGTGGGCACAGCTAGCACATGTCCTGCTGGCACACGCAGAGTCAACAAGAGGCTAATATTGACATACCCTAAATAAGGGACATCCAGCACTCAGCCGGGCTCCCACCAGGAGCTTACAAGTCATTTGTTGGAGGATGAGCCCCCGTGGAGAGACTTTTCTGGGAAGGTGGCCACAGGGCATCTGGTCCTCTCTAATGAATCAGCTCTCTGGTGGGCTGTGAAGCCAAGGACAGGCTGGGATGGCTCCAGACCTTGATTGGAGTGGGAATGGACATAGTACCAAACACTTCAGGATACTGTGTGGCTCTTAATAATCCAGGAACACCAGGCTTTGCTCCTAACTGGCTATGACGCAATATATGGATGAAAATACACTAACCAGCACCACGTGAGACCTTACCACCAAGCCTGCCCCACACCCTGGTTGTGACTCAATGATGGATGAGAGATGGAGCATTAAGCGGCCTGGCAATGTTAGTCCGTCCTTCCTGGAAGGACATCTGCTTTCAAAAGAACTTCTCACTGTGTAGCCAACGTCACTTAAGCAAAGGGAGGTTCAGAGCCATTGTCTGTCAAATGGGATCCAGGGAGCCGCAGAGGGTTAAATGAAATGAGGTTAACAGAAAGAACCCATAACTTAATAGTGATTGCTTTAATGGACATCCACACAGTGCTTCATAAATGCCAGGCCTCCTTCCAAGAACTTTTCAAATATTAATTCATTTAATTCCCAGAAAAGCCCACGGTAATGATGATCTTAAGAGCAACAGTCTCCATTCCCTAAGCATCTGTTTCATGGCAGTCACCATGAAAATGGCTGGACATATATTATCATTGGGCATACTAGAGCCTAGTGCTTTGCTTCCTCTCTGCTGTTTTGACTACCATTTATTGAGGACCTACTGTGTGCGAGGCCTTATTCTATGGGCTTTACATTGATTATCTTATTATCTCAGTGAATCTTTACAACAATATGTTGAAGTACAATAATAACATAATAGCAGCTAACATATGCATGTTCTCTGTACCAAGTGCCTTATCTCATTTAATCCTCACAAGAGCCCTATGAAATAGGTGCTGTCAACATCCCCATTTTACAGATGATGAAACTGAGGCACTGAGGGCTGAAGTTACTTGCCCAAGTTCAACCAGGATCCCAGAGCCCATGTCACTGCCACTACCCCATGCTACCTCCTGGCAAGCCATGTCTTCATCATCTAAGTAGAGAGTGGTTTTCTGTTCTCATTTAGTGGGGAACAGATGCCGCCAAGATATGAACTTCCTGATTCCAGGTCTCCCGGCTGGCCCCAGAACCCAGATCTCCTGTCTTCTAATTCCAAATGCCTGGGTCATTTTGGGGATCAGCTAATGGGGGGCTCCCCAGGCCCAGGGACAAGGCGGCTTACCGAATTCGGACTGCATGCCAGGGTAGATGATCCTGAACACGTAATCTGTGGCCTCGTCATCTTCCTTGTCTGAAGACGTGGACTCGGCGGAACCCTGAGGGCTTCGCTTGCGTAGTTTGGGAAATACTTTGCCCTGAAAGAACATGTCCCAATACATGGTCCCTGGGACACACCTGTCTCCCAACCCGAACAGCCCGAGGCCCTTGATGGGGTATGCAGAGCCTGTGAAGCCACATAAGGGCCCGTGGGCAAGAATGACTGCTCCCCAAGGCTGACCCCAACCTCGGCTTCCCTGGGTCCCCACACTCACTCACCTTCCCCCTCTGAGACCAGAGTGGTGGGTCCAGCTGCCCATGAGGGAGCAGCCCATTCTCCAAGCACGAGAGGAACTGCAGGAGGTGCCCTCCTTTAGGGAAGTGGAAGGGTGGCCTCTGGATCCCGTCCTGGCTGACCAACACCACCGTCCCACCGCTGTCCACTACCGTCGTGACCCGGCCAAAGAAGACCCAACAGGGAGTCACTATGAGGTGTGGTGATGGGGCTCTCTGAGCCACCATATCCCCATTAAACATGCTGAGCCAGACCCACTGACCTGCTCCCAGGCCCTGGGAAAGGCCTTGGCAGAAGGTCAGGGGCAGGTTTTACCTCTCTGGAGTGAGTCTCTTTCTTCCCATCTACCGTCATCATTGACTAGGAACTATATGACACAGTCAAGAGTGTGATTGACTTTCTCTATAGCCACCCACCAAGGGAAAATAATGCCCCCAAACACCCCATGTCCCTCAAGCACCCTCTACAAATCTACCTGACCTGTTTTTGTATGGAGGCTTTTAGACCTACCCATTCTCCGGGAAGTAGATAGTTAGCATGTACTGGACACTTACTGTGTATAAGCACAGCACGTTAAAGCCATCATCTTATTGTAGTACTCAAAATATGAGGCATAAATATTATTGCCTATTTTACAAATGATAAAACTGAGGTTCAGATAGGTTATGTAACTTTACCAGGGTCATAGAGTTGGTAAGTGGCAGGGCCTAGATTTGAACCCAGGTCTATCATTAAATAAGCTTAATGTTTTGTGCCTTGGTAGGTCACAGATCCCTTGCTTTCCAAAGCAGGACGGCCCTCTACTTGTAGTGAATATACCTTCTTTTGAGCTTTAAAAGGGAGACTCTAGTCATTAATTCCAGATTTGCAAAGCAAACTTTGGAGGGACAAAGAACTGGGTTCGAGTCCAGGCTCTGGAACCTATCGGCTGTGTATCTTTGTGCCAAGCTGCTTCTTCACTTCTGAACCTGGAATGGAGCCCTTATCACTGGGTTGTTGTGACAATTAAATAACAGACATGTAAATAGTTAGAACAGTTCTTGGCACATCATGAGTGCTCAATAGGTAACAGCAACTAATACCATGGCTTTGATGTTAAGCCCTTAACATAGGTCATTTGATTCTCACAACAAGACCATGAGTAGGTGCTGTTATGATTCCCATTTTACAGATGGGGAAACTGAGGTTCAGAGAGATGAAATCACTTGTCTGAGGTTGCACAGGTAATAAGGAGGTGGGGGCAGGAAGAACACCCCAGCCCCGTGCTCCCCTCGCAGTCCCCACCTTGCTGGTGGCAGTGCAGGTAGACAATCTCCTCCAGGCGGATGGTCATGGCATAGTCCCAGTAGACGCTGGAAGGGGAGGGAAGGTTGAGCTTTCAGGATGCCTGCCCACCTCATCATGGAGAAGAGCCCAGGAGGCCAGAAGACCAAAACCATGGACCCCTCTACCCTTCTCACCAGGACGCACCTATCTGCAACTTCTGTATCAGTCTTCCGAAACTCTATCTCCCCTTTTTCTGGTCTCAGCACCCCAATATTCTGAGGACTACCCCCTGGTTACCCAAAGTCCATGTGGTTGAGGCTGACCCCACACACCGTCCAGTCCAGGACTCTAGGAACGGTCACCTAACCAAGTCCTGGCCAAGCCACACATTCCACTGTTTTGGCCACAGTGATTGGTTCAGAAATGGCAGAACCAATGAGATTCGATTGCTGGATTTTTGTTAGTAGTACTGGAAGAGATGCTCCTTTCTGCTGGATGAGTAGTGGTAAGAATGATACACGTCTAGAGATGTAGGAGGCCATGACAAGAAAAAGCCTGCCTGAGAATGGGGTCAACAGTCAGAGTAGCAGAGCCAAGAGATGAAAAGAGTTCAGGTCTTCATCATTGGAGTCCCTGGATCCAGCCAAGCCTGAAGCCACCACCACAGGATTTTTCCATTCATGTGAACAAATGCTAAAGGCAGCTTGAGTCTGGTTTTCTGTCACCAGTATCTAGGAGCCTTAATCAACTCAACCCTAACACCATGCTACCATGTGTCCATGGGTGGGAGTTAAAATAGCCACTCAAAAGCTTTGACTTCACAGGTACCATCAGTGTGACTCGAATGCTTCTATGAACCTCAGTTTCCTCCTCTGTAAAATGCAGATGATAATGCCCATTGCATAGTGTTACTGAGGATTAAATAAAATCATATATGTGAAGGGCTCATATTTGAAGTCTTATACACAAAAAACTACTTGGTTAGTGGTCCCTGTGACTATTTACTTAAAATTTTCCATTTCCAGCTCAAAGCCTACCATTGTCCTGAAATAGATTGCTTTTCCACTCGGAATACAATGGGAGGTGGCGGCCACAGGAACTCAGGCTTGGTGTCAGCCATGGGAATGCAATGTGCAGGTCTCCTTCAGGAGACCTTGCTGTGGGAGGCAGAGTTGACCAACAGCTTCGGAGGCCAGCCCTCTGGATGCACCGCCACATTTGTGCCAAGTCCATGCTTCTTCTCAGCCAGAACTGAGCATGCTAGGGTGCCAGTATAGGCCTGTTCCTGTGGGACAGGGGGCTGTCTGGGGTCACCTTTAGTCTGGGGACTCCCAACTGATATAGCCAAACATTCTTAGAACTGAACTGTGTCTCAGACTCTTCCTGTCCTATCTTCCGTCCTTCCCTCTCCTCCCTCACAGGGGTCAGACCAGCTTTATGGTTTGAGGGATCTCCCCACCTCCCTCTGCTCCTCACATTCAACCTTCACAGGTGCTTCCTCAATTGAGTCTCTCCTGCACGTCTTGGTGTTGTCTGCTTCTTGGAGGACCCAAACTAACACAGGCTTCAAAGTCAGACAAGGTTTAAATCTCACTTCTGCCACCTACATTGAACCAGTCCCTTTCCATCTTGGGCCTTGGTTTCCCCAGCTGTGAAATGAGGAAGCTGGAAGCTCTCTCAAGGCCCTTCCTGTACTGGTCTGTACCAGAATCAGCCTCATCAGGGTCATAGAATGAATGGCCTTGGAAGATGGTCAGGTACACAAGTGGTTTTAGACTAGCAGCCTCTGCCGAGCCCCTTGCATGCTGAGTCTCAGCCAGGAGACCCTTCCCTGGGCTCCCACATGTTGCCCCATCACACTGCCTGTTTTCTCTTGTTTCTCTGTGGGGTGCTGAATGCCTGGAGAGGGGACTGGGTTTTGTTCACTTCTATAAGATACTCAGAGAATATAGAGAGTGAGTGGTTAATGCTAGGCGCTGGGATGCCTAGTAAACAAAGCAACTTTCCAACTATAATCAACACCAGCAAGGAGGAGCTCTGTGAACAGTTCCTTTGGATCCACATAAATTAACACAAACAGCCTCCATGACTGACAGGTCTTTCCAGGTGCCAGGTTCCCTGCTGAGGGCTTCACGTGCATTTTCACATTGACTTCTCCACACATGCCAGTTTGGAGATTCCATTACCACATTCCCATTTTTACAGATGAACAAACTGAGGCTCAGGGAGGTAAAGTTGATTGTCCAAGATCATTCAACTAGGAAGGAGCAAGAGCTAAGTTTCTGTTTACGTTTTATGTTTTAACAGCTTTCTGGAGTAGAACTGCTGTGTCATATGTCAAGGGTATGTTATAATAAACCTCTAAATGGGTCTGCAAAGTGGTTGCACCATCAGCAGTGTATGAGGGTTCCAACTGTTCCTCATGGCAGGGCTGAGGTGTGAGCCAGGTCCATCCTGACTCCAGAGCCCAAATATCTACCTCTTTGGTGATATTTCCTCTTCAACATCAGAAAACTCCAGTGGGGAGTTATGATCCTAGTTGTGTAAGAGGGAAGGCTGGCTGGGAAAAGAGGTCTTAAACCTCCTCAGACAGGGGCTACTCCCCTATCTTTGTTGTCCCTTGATCCCCAAAGAGAACCTGGAACCCTTAGATGCTCCTTTTCCCACACATTAATGCCCACATTTCTGACCCCTGGCTCTTTCTCTTCCCTGAACCCCAGGTGTCACAAAAGGGTAACAAGAACAGATGGGGGTTCAGAGTCCAGGCCTAGGGAAGTCCCCAGTCCCATTGGCGGTGACCTTGAAAGTACAAATTCATCTGGAACTAAATATGGAAGCACCTACAATGTGCTTGGTCACAAACAGAGGAAAAGATACAGACACATGGAGTCCCCGATGATCTGAGCTGGAATGGGGCGGGGCTTGGCAATCATTTGGTCCAATGCCTCTCCTAAAACATTAGCATCAAAAGATTCCTGCCCACACAGTCCCGAGCTTAAGTCCACCCAACATACAGGTCCACAGGCTTTGACGTTGGACAAAAGACACTCAGTGTTTGACAGCTCCTGAAAACCCTTTGGGAACCCTCCAGTTCTGGGAAAGTCTTGTCCAGCCCCCTCATTTGATAGAAAGGGGAAACTAAGGTCCAGAGATGGGGAGTGATATATCCCAGGTCAACCAGCAAGGTGAAAGCTGAGCAAAAACTTGGTCCTATAAAATATATGTATCCATTTACTTGCTTATTCGTTGTCTTCCCCAGCATAATGTAAACACAATATAAGCTCTGAGAAGATAAAGATTTTTCCTCTCCTTTTTTGTATCTGCAACCTCTCTCGTATCTGGGCACATAATAGGTGCTCAGTTAATATTTAATGAATGAATCACTGCTTTATTTCATGAAGATTATCTGAGAACCTAATAGGTGCTACAATCTATGGCAGGTGCTGGGAAGAAGACACGAGCAAGACAGAGTCTTTGCCTTCATGGAACTAAGGTCTGGAGGGCGAGATAGTTGGTATACAGGAAGCGCAGATTTCGTATGTGACTACGGTTTTATAAATGCTATGAAGGATTTTCAGGGCTCTCTGTGTGATCCAAATGCATCGGGGCAGTCAGTGAAGGCCCAATTCTAAGGTTTAAGATGCATCAGCTGATAAGGTCCCTGAGCAGTGACTTTGTATTTCCCTTTGTTCTTCCTAAAGACGTCCCTAATTGTGCTAGAACACAGAGTACTGCAGCAGGGGATGCTCAGCCCCATGTTTCTTTGGTGTGTGATTACAGAGCCTTCGCTGGGTCCTATAAATTCCAGGATATCTGAGGAGACACAGTTCTGAACTAGAAGCCTACCAACCAACACTTTCTGCCTCCTTTTTTTATTAATTGATGGGAAAGGGAGCAGCATACAGGGGACTATTTGTGGGCTTCAGACCTTTAAGATTTCTCTCTCTAGGTGATGTTTTGGCCAGGGCTCTGCCTAATTCCACACCTTAAGGTTCTTCTAGGTAGTTTCCAGATTTTCTCAAATCCTTGAGTTACCTCTGAGGCCAGAGCCACAGGGAAGCTGAGCACAGTGGCCGTTAACAGCCAGATGGAACAGCAGACAGGGGTAGGAGAACAGAGACAAGGCATGAATTTCCCTGTGCCAAGGGGAGGAAAGGGATCCGGCGCCCTACCTCTTCTCATAGTCCAGGTCTCCCATAGACCCATTCATCAGCTGGTTGGGTGTCCACTTCAAGGTCATGACGTCAGCTGTTTGGTGAAGGGAGAGGTACCCTGGCACAGCCTCCATGTCATCCCTCTGCAGAGAGAGAAGGACTCAGGCCTGGTCATAGAGAGAGTTACAGTGGAGGGGGGCCCTGGCTCATCTGACTCAAGGGCACATAACCAGACAAGAGGCTGGGTCATTCCCTCCAAGGCTAAGGCCATTTGAAAGACCCTGAACCTTCTTCCAGGAAGTCATGCTAGGTGAAGCCATTTGCAGTCAACCACCCAGGATGAGTTCTATAGATCCACCTGTGAAAGCTGTCCAGCCCCAACACTTTCACACTCACGCTTGCCTTCTGAGGTTCAGAGGCCCTGCTGTGAGGGTGGGGCTGGGGGTTTCTTTAGAACCATGAAGGGGCTCTGGCCCTCTCAATATCACCCTTTCCAAAAGAGAACGCCATCTTTTTGGCCAGTATTAAGGAAGAAAGAGATAGCAGCTGAATTTATCCCAAGGACATGACCCAGAAGCCCCTCCCAAATACCCCCCGCTATACTCCCCACCCAGCAGCCTGAACCTCTGCCTTCCCAACTGGTCCGCATAGCTTCTCATCTGCTGTTATAACCCACGTAGGGAGTGGTGGAGGGCAGTGTCTCCAAGCTTTACCCATAGAGGAGGCAGTCCCTCCACCACATTCATCTCAACAATACATGGAGACAGACAACTAACATTTACTGAGCACCTACAGTGTACCAAGTATGGCTTAGAGTTACACAAATTGTCTCAACTGAATCAACCAGGCCTGCAGCCCTATGAGGGAGTCCATTTGCAGTCGTTCATCAATTCTAAGATGGACATTTGTTTTTCGCATGCGAATGTGCCTGAAATAGGGATGTATCTTACAGAATTTCACCATCGTGACATAGTTGTCATTAGCTAATCTCATGCAAACTCAGTCACAGTTGTTCATATTGTCATTTCAATTAAGTTCTGTGTGTGGTTGATACTTCACATTCAGAGCACAGGTGCTATTTTAAAAGTCTCTAAAAAGATTAAACTGTAATTCAGCTTTGAATCAAAAAGTTAATGTATATGTAGAAAGGCTGGGAACAGAGCAATGAGGTGCTAATGTGATATTCACCAACGCAGAGATGCCCACATTGCAGATTTTCTTGCAAATCAACAGCCAAGTGCAATGCTTGCAAGAAATACTGCATCTCCCATGCTCTGGAACAGAAGCATGGGAGAATATTTCCTCTCTGACCCTTTACAGCCAACTTTTTCTGTAAAGGGTCAGAGAGGAAATATTTCTGGCATTGTGAGCCATACAGGCTCAGTTGCAACCACTCAACACTGCCACTGTAGCATGAAAATAACCAATATGTAAATTAATGGGCATAGCTGAGTTCCAATAAAACTTTACTTGTAAAAACAGGTGGAGAGCCGCATTTGGACCATAGGCTATAGTTTGTTGATCCCTTTCTTTTGATGGAACAGAAAATTATATTGGATGGAAAAATAAGGACATCGATGACTCTAAGTCAAAAAGTGCTACAGAAGATTGGACCCTGCAATGTGAAGACATTTTAGGACCACCTCAACTAACATACTGCAACTATATTTTCTCTTTTATGTACTTATAAGAGGAATATATGACTTAAAAAAGCTAACTATATCCAAATAAATCTCAAAAAGCTCTTTCAAAAAGTGTAAAATTTTCAAGTAGCGAGAAAACTGCATATATAATTTAATAGCATTTTTTATTTCTTGATGGTTATGTTAAAAAAAAATGGTGCATCTTAAATTCAGGGCTTCTTAGGTCTGAGGAAATAGGTTCTTGTAACCATTGTGATGTGGATAATGAGGCTCAGAGGGAGAAGTGGTCAAAACTGTGACCGCAGAGCTGGAGTGACTGACAGCTCTCCCTCTGCTTCCTCCCAGATGAGCTCAAATACCATGCTGATCCAAATGATCCCGGAAATGAAATAGCAAAGGAGATATTCCATGAGGGGAGGGTCTTCACATACCTTGCTCACCATCCGTACCTGGGGCCTGGTCCAGTGCTAGAGTATCAAGGGTGACTGGTAAGTGGCACAGACTGGCACCATCTGGCCTGAATTTGAATCATAACTCTGACCCTTATTCTGCTATATCGGCCTCAGTGTTATCATTTACGATAACAGTGCCTGCTGCAAATGGTTGTTGTGAGGTTTAAATGAGCTGATACAATTAAAAGCACTTAGCACAGTACCTGACACATAAGAAATGCTTAATATATATTAACATGAAGATGTTTATCTTTTTATCCTAAGCATCTAGCACATAGCAGGTTCAGTATAAATGCTTGCAGAATGAGCGATAACAAGAGAGAATGGATGGATAGATGGCTGGGTGGACAGGTGGATGGACAGATGGACTAGAAAATAATTGGACAAATGAGTGGATGAAAAGATTGAAGGATGGATGGATGGATGGATGGATAGATATAAATATAAGCAGATAGATGAAGGAATGGTGGATGGATGCATGAATAGAGAGATGGATTTATGAAAAGATTGAAGGATGGATGGATGGATGGATGGATATAAATATAAGCAGATAGATGAAGGAATGGTGGATGGATGCATGAATAGAGGGATGGATGGATGTAGAGATTGAAAGAGTTGATTGGCTGGCTAGAGATATTGATGGGTGGGTGGATAAATAGAAAAAATCCTGGCATATGGATGAATGAATGAATGAATAGAAGGATATATTAGCATATGAATGAAAGGACAGAGGCGAGGAAATACTGGAAGATGAATGAACAGATGGGTGCGTAGGTGGATGGATAGATGAATGGATGAGCAACCTGCAGCCAGAGGGAACTCCTCTTCTGTGACCTGGATACAGAACATAAGTGAAAAGTCTGGGTCTAAAGTGAACTCACCGGCTGAACGAGAACGTTGTTCTTGCCATAGAGCAGGGTAGCCCGGGAGTTCTGGTGCAGGGACTCTACGTAGTCACGGGCGGAGAGGGATGGCCGGTCATCCATGCTTCCGCTCGAATGCCTCTTCTGGATCTGGCAGTGTGAGGAGAGGAGGAGGACAAGACCCAGAGTGACCTTCAAGACCCCACTCTATTCCCCGCCCCCATGCCAAGTCCAGAACTCAGCCTAACTGCCCCACAGAGCCCTGCCGTCCACCCCACTCACACAGAGGGCTGGACGCTTGGTGGGCGAGTCCTGCCGTAGGTGTGAGCTGTGGATGCGGTGCCTCTGGACAAGCTCATCTGCCGAAGGGTCAGTCCAGAAGTGATCTGCAGTCTTCATCTTGGTGTACTCTAGAGCACAGGGCCCCACTGGAGAGCAGATGGGGGTTGGCACTCCACAGCTCCTGAAAGTCTGCCCTCTCGTTTACCACTAAATTGGCCACGGATTTCACTGCCCCTCCCCTCCTGCCAGCTGGGATGTCCCAGGGCCCTGCTAGGGAGAAGCCAAAACAAGATCCTGGGAGCAAGAGATAGAAAATTGCTAAGTTTTGAAGCGGGGGTGGGGGGACTGGAGGGAGGTGAAAGGCTCTTAGGAGGTATCACAAAAGCCAAGGCCAGAGATTCAGATGAAATTCAGAGCACTGGACCACTTACCTAACAAAGATGCAAGGATGGGGCCATCCACAGGATCCATCAGGAGAGCTTCCTTCTCATAGTATTTACTAACAAGGGAGGAAAGGATATACAGATTTGGATGGTGACCAGCAGAGGGCGCACAAGCCACTATGGCCTGGTGGTTAAGAGCAGACGACAGTTCAAACCCTGTCTTGTCACCCAGTTACATCTGTGAGCCGCAGCTGCCCCATTTGTAAAATTGGGATTATAATAATATATCTCAAAGGGATGTCAGGAGGACTTTTGAGACAATAGATGCTAGGCGCTAAGCACCATGCTTTGCATGAAACTGCTTAATACATGGTGTGATAAAGCCTTAATGAGGTGGCAGGAGTAATCATTAGAAGGTTGCTAAGGCCTGGCTGGTTCTATCTACTTCTGCTGCATCTTCCATTTCAAACAGGAAGTCATTTAGAGGCACATATGATATCTATCCTTCTAATATTACTGAGGCGATAAAATGTTTTTTAGCTGTGGTTGATCCAAAAGGCTGTATTAACAGGTTTTCCTGTCCAGATAGCTAATGTGGACGATGCTGGCCTGACATACTCAAACAAAAACAACAACAACAAAAAAACCCACCTGGCTTCTGACTCTTCAAAATAACATGTGATGCCATCAATATTACAGTGTTTGTGCCGAGTGTTTTTCGTGCTTATTTGTGAGTTGTGGTGTAGTGGTTTCTAATCCTTTGCAAACCTCACTCATACAGTCTAGCGACTAACAGAATTTCTGATGTGGACAAGGCCTTGTTCTGACCTCCTGAAGGATATCAGGCCCAGAGAGAGTAAGTAACTTGCTGGAGGCCACAGAGCAGGTAGATGCAGGCATGGGCTACACTCGCTGGCTTAGTTCTTCCCATCCTAGAGCCAGGGGTGAAGGACACAGGATCTCAAGTCAGAGAGACTGAGTGGGAGCCCAGCTCGGCCACTCCTTCCCTCACTGTGTGCCCCTGGGCAGGTGACTACCCTCTCGGAGCTTTGGTGTAAAATGAGAAGAAGGACAGAACTCATCTGCCCCGGCTGTTGGGAGGATTAAACGCTGACCAGCATCTACAGCAACAGCACAGACTCTGACAGCAGAAAGGCCCCACTAAGTGACAGCAACATCACTGTAATTCTACCCCCAAATAAATCTATCAACCAGAATATTAGCTGAGGCAGGACTGGCCTGCCTTGGTCATGCTCAATAACAAGTCTGCACATTTTGGTGTCAGATCTAAAGAGAACACTTCAAGGCACTTTCTACTCCACCATTCCATTTCCTCTCCAAAAATCAGCAGTTATGTGACCATAAACCTTTGAAATGCTGCCTTAAAAATAGCAGGGGGGTTGGAATCAAGATATGACTCTAAATGGTACCCACGGGAGTTCCTCTGAGGTGATGGGTTTCTTTGGAACGGTTCTGCATCCTGAGTGTGGTGTGGGTTACACGAAACTACATGTGTGTTAACATTTCATAGGACTACACAGCAAAAAAAAAAAAAAAAAAGAGTCTATGTAAAAACCGGTGAAATCCAAATAAATCTTGTAGTTTAGCTAACAGTATTGTACCAATGACAACTTCTTGTTTTGAAAGTTATATTCTCGTTACGTAGGATGTTATTTTTGAGAGGCAAGAACTCTCGGTACTAATGTTGCAGCTTCTGTGTGAATCTAAAATTTAAAATAAAAAGTTTAATGAAGGAACAGCCGGTTGGCACTGCTGCTCTAATAACTGCTAATTCCTTTTGACCAACTTATTCAGCGGGGAAACACAAGACACAAGAACACACACCAAAGGCAGTAACTTCACAGGCCCTGGACCCATAACAGGGCAGGAGGCAGAGACATATTACAACTGACAGGAGGTTAAGAGATGAACTGGAGCCTCAGAGTCTGGGTTTCTTTCAGTTCCTCTCCTGCCTCAAGGTCTTGGCACCTGCTGTTCCCCGGTGCTGAGAACACTCTCCCCCACCCCCTTCACCTGGTTAATGACTACACGCCCTTCAACTTGAAGCTGAACTATCACATCTTCCAGAACACTTTCTCTGACCACCTGGAAGAGATTAAACTCCACCCACCTGTCTTGGAACACTCATGACATATTATCACAACTACTATTTGCTTGTTTTCTCTTCTAAAATGGGAGCTTCATGAGGGGAAGGACCATGCTCTACTTTCTTACATACTCTTCTAGCAAACAGAATAAAAGATTAAAAAAAAAAGATAATACCAACTGTGCATAAAGATGTGGTTAAACATGTACTTTCATACACTGAAAAGATGAAGAGATTCTCAGATATTTCTCTCTCTCTCTCTCTCTCTCTCTCTGGCTGGGAAGGAGTGCTGGCCATGACGAGTCTCATATTATAAATTTTTCAGTGGCTCCACACTGCTCGTGGCAGAACATCGAAGCTCTTTAACATGGCAGATAAGACCAATGTATCCTCAACATCTAGGTTAGTGCCTGGCATGTAGTAGATGCTTATTAAATGCTTATTGGATGGATGAATGAATGAATGAACGCCTGCCAAGAAGACTCATACTAGAAAACCTTTACATCATAATTCTAAGCAAGGAAAGAAAATGTGGGAAGTATCACGAGGCACTTCCAAAATGCTGCGTATTCACTCTCTTTCTCACCTCTTCTCTGGAGTGGCAGCGATCCATCCCATTTACCAAAAGAGGCAAGAGGCACAGAGAAGCTAAGTGA